GCCCTTACCGAACTTACTCCTTTATTAGAGATGCATTAGAAATAAGAAACAATTCTTAAAATATGGGTACAATTACATGTGTGTATATTATCATATGATTTGTAATGGAGAACACTAATGTAATATTAGTTATCTTAATAAAGAATCTGAATCTGAATCATTACTGAATTAAAAAAAGAATCTAAGGATTTTTTTGTCAGCCTTTTCTCGTTTTATCCATTTAGTGCAGTAAGTACGGAGTGAGTCGTGGGTGATGTTACGACACTCATTCCAATTAATAATTGACGGGGGAGATATTTAAGTCCTTTACTGAGGAATGATTTCAACTCTCGGTCATGAACGATGTTAAGGTCTCCTGTTATAACATGGGAACTGGGGCCATAAATGTATTCAGAATTACTACAATTTCATGACGAAGGTGTATTGTCACTTATATTAACATCTTTACAGAATTCGCTATAATTAAACACATATTTCCGGGTAGATTTTTTTGTAAACATAACAAATAAGACGGAGCTCGGTATTAACAAAATAGCTAGGAATTTGTACTTAAAGGAATGATCATTAAAAATACCGGCAATATTTACAAAATCAAAACCTTTATTGACATATTTGATTTTAATGTAATATTTTTTTATTCCACTGCAATATGGAATTTGATGTAATTTATTATTAGAGCTTGGTTAACAGATAATGTCTGCCGTAGTTTTTTGAAATAGTAATTAGGTCCGAAATATTTGTATTTTTGCCCCACGGTACAAAATTTTCTCTGATTGCGATTTATTCTACGCCCATGAGAACGATTTTTACGAACAGTTTTAGAAACTATATCCGAAATGTTAACAGAATCGGTTCTTGATATATTACCAATTCCAATGATATTATCATTAAGACCGAGAGGATAGACTGTCTGTAATTTTTAATCCAATTTAATTCAATGAATGAATGAATGAATATTTTATTGCAGAAGCAAACATAATGCTATAGCAAAATAACATAATATATAATGACAATAATGACAGTAAACATGCAGAGAACAACACAATAAGGTCATAACAAGCACAGAACAAAACTGTTATACAATAATAATTTGTAATCTTTACTTCCATGCCGCATTAAGAAATTTACACAATTCAGTTATTTTCCGTGATCGTATAAATTTTGAATGAGATCCCCCAGGCTGCTTATTTACTACTTCTAAAGGTTGATTCGTTAAATATTTAATAGGATGGTTGTGCTTCTTAAGGATGTACTTAAGTCAGGTTTAGGAATTTTTGTGAAGGAGCTCCATACCCTATCAATATTTTTAGCTTATTTTGTTCCTTAACTAATGCTCTTCTGACTTATAGTATCAATTTTAAATTCTAGATTTTTTTAATTTCTCCTAAGTACATCCTTAGGTGTTGATAAATGATACTTTTATTTTAAATTTATGGGGTCTTCTAAAACGATAAAGGTGTTCTTGTGTGCGTTTTGATAAATAGCGTCCGGTTTCACCTACGTACTGAATACCGCATCCCGGTTTTTTTCATGTGATAATACTGTTAGTTTTATATCAGTTTCAAAATTTAAGGAAAATGTGCAACTTTTAAACGTGGACCTTACCTATTGTTGGTGGAAAGACGGGGACATGTAAGTAATTTTTTGGCATGACACTTATCGATAGAAGGGTTACCATGATTTTTATTATTAAAAATGTTAGCGATTGTTATATTAAGACGTGTAGATACCCTTTTAACGAGTTTGGTATTTAGTATTTTTCCATTTCTGAGTTTCATTTTGTTATCCGTATTTCCAATTGAAAGGAGCAAAGACTGGCGTCCAGAATATGAACCAGCACACAGGAATTGAATAAAATAAAAGATAAAACTGTTCGACTAAAGACGCCAAACGCTATCCGTCATCAAGTACCCAACAAAATACGTAAACTACAATACCAATGGACAAAACAAAAGACAGAGTATATCAGGGTAGCGTCTGACGTCTGACTAAATAGAAGAATGGGACTGAATAGTAAAATATGAGTTTTAGATAAATATATTCCTAAAGTAATGAACATAGCTATATGTATTCCGTCTTTTTGTATTCAATGTATTCTGTCTTTTTGTATCAAGGGATTTTGAAAGAATACATAGACCTACAACCTCACTATTATAGATGTACTGCTGAAAGAATTCATTGAATGAAAATCTTACCATAGATGTACTGCTGACAGAATACATAGAATTAAACCTTACCATATATGTACTGCTGGAAGAACAAATAGAATTAAAACCTTACAATAAATATACTGTTGACGACAGAACCCATAGAACTTAAGCCTTACCATAAATATACTGCTGACAGAATACACAACTTTAGAACCTTGCCATATATGTCCTGCTGACAGAATACATATAGCTAAAACTTTACCATGAATGTCCTGCTGAACGAACAAATGGGATTAATAATAAATTTTGGAATCTGAAGCGATGTAATATATCAAATATTTTTGTGTTATACGTTTGCAGGACGGAACAGTCAACTCTAACACGCCTGAACGTAAAAAGGTGTACCCGACTTTCTCTTTGCGATAAGATAAGATCATTGCCTATTTTTAGAATGTTTTCTGAAATAAGGTTGTATTTTTTTTAAATGTGACATTAATTTAAAAGTTAACAATTATCTCTTAGCTCCAAACAATAATTTGACCTCAATAATGCACTTACATTATACTCAGAGGAGGGGCGACAGCCTTAGGTGCTGCGTGCAAATTTTTGTAGGTCACGTGGTACGATTTTAGCTTCCCTCGACAATTTTGAATCTGGAAAAGATCGATTTGTTCTCTACATTATACTATTATAAAATAAACCAACTTGGCCATTTTTACCTTCCATTTCTTTTTGTCTACTGGATCCCATCCTGCTCTGATAATGCCCAAATGAACAATACATTATTTTGATAAAACAGAAACTATGCAGGCAACTACATATAGGAAGACATCTAAAGTGCATCCTCATTATTTGGTCTACCGGGGAATCAAACGTTTTTTTTTTCAAAATCTATCCCCATGTATTAACATAACCTTGTGTATATCATGATTTATTTATCTATATTTTCAGTGTATACCCTAATGGATCAACATAACCTTGTGTATATCATGATTTATATATCTATATTTTCAGTGTAAACCCCAATGGATTAACATAACCTTGATCATGATTTGTATATCTATATTTTCACGTGATAAGCGTTATCGGGATTTCTGTTTGACAATAGATAAAAAGTATGACCATTTTAATCATTTATTTATACACTAACAACAAAAATGGACGGAGATGAACCTCAAGAAACCAGACAACAGAAAAAGGCACGTCACCTAACTATACAAATCGTCAAACGATTCTGTAAAGGTTTTGGTAGTGGAGTTGTTCTTTATGCTGGTGTTAAAGTTGTGTCGGCACTATTGCGAAATCCTTTTAGAGAGAGGTTGGTAATATATATTCAGCGTAGTTCTGCAAGCTCAAGCATTCGTTGATTTATGCATAATTCATAAACCTTCGATTTTTATTCTTTAGACTTTATACTCACACAATGGGTTGACTGTATGATCACCTGGATTTTTCAATCCAGCAGTAAAGCCCATGCGTAGGGGATATCCGTATTGTTTTGTGTAATATATACATATGAAGCCACGAACAATCGGAATTGGGACGATAATCAAGGCAAGAATTCTCCTTTATCAAACCTTAGCTATTTTCTAGTTACATTCCAAATAATCTGCTCTTCATCTTGGTCAACCAGCTTTCGTATACAAGTATATTTATGAAATTCCTTTTCGTCCTGGATATGCATGAAATATTGGCCAAAATCTATTTGCGCCAAAACTGAATTCTTTCGCGCCACAACTTATTTGCACCAATGCTTCTTCTGCGCCACTTCATTTGAATACTATAGCGGGTTTCATTTGCGCCAATAAAATAATCATACAATTGCGCCAATATCATAATTTTATTTATTTTCACTTATATATATCTACTAAATTATTTTAGAAGGTCGCTCAGATAATATGTCAGTTGTATTTCGTTTGCATACTGTTCTCAAAATTTGTCTTTCTAATTTCTGAGTATTATTTTCATGTATATGGTCTAATTCTCCTCAAAATAACTGTATAAGATTCATCTGTAAAAGCCTAGCACAACACAACTTTACTGTACATTTCCATCTAATTTCTTCATATTTCTTGATAAATGCCGGACGGAATTTGTGATCTTCTATATCAGATATCTTTACATGTGAAAAAAATCGTTCTAATACTGAACAATTTATTTATTGGTGAGTTTATTAATTTTGATGAGTGTTCTTTTTAATCTAACGTCGATAGGCTAATTATAGTACTTGTTTCATCAAGAATTTGTACTTGCTACATACAGATAAGATAGATAAATTTTTATTTCCAATAGAGGATCCATTATGGGTATAATCAGCACAGTGATTTTTTTTTTTTATATTAAACAATTGCAACAAATCCTTGGTTACATGTATAATATAGGTACACCCAAAAAATACAGGTAAATATGGCGCAATTTCAATCCATTTATTGACGCAATTAATATCATTAGAAAAATAGATACCTTTTTAAAATTATAATTGGCGCAAATTGATTCTGGCCGAAATATTTGCCACTGGAAGTTAAAAAAAACAACAATTAAGCAATCAATCAACCACTCAATCAATTATTTATACATTAGTCAATTTCTTTATCTCTTTTAATTTGATGTAAAATTAGTTATTATGGCCAACAATAAGCTGACACACATTTGACTTAAACAGACTTGTCACTAATACTCCGACATACAGTGAACATGAACACCCGACTTGTCACTAATACTCACACAGTGAACACGAACACCAGACTTGTCACTAATACTCATACAGTGAACATGAACACCAGACTTGTCACTAATACTCACACAGTAAACATGAACACCTGACTTGTCACTAATACTCACACAGTGAACATGAACACCAGACTTGTCACTTATACTCATACAGTGAACATGAACACCAGACTTGTCACTAATACTCACACAGTGAACATGAACACCAGACTTGTCACTTATACTCATACAGTGAACATGAACACCAGACTTGTCACTGATACTCATACAGTGAACATGAACACCAGACTTGTCACTGATACTCATACAGTGAACATGAACACCAGACTTGTCACTGACACACATTCAGTGAACATGAACACCAGACTTGTCACTAATACTCATACAGTGAACATGAACACCAGAATTGTCACTAATACTCATACAGTTAACGTGAAAAAGGTGATTTTGGATAAAAGTAAATCCAACGTTACTAAAACAACATTTAAGGGTCAACATAATCATGGTTCCTTCGATATAGATGTAAGAGATCGTACTATATTTCAATCACCAAATCGCCGAGCCTTTGACAAAATCAGCAGAGAATTGGAAATATCTGTCACAAATTTTCCGAAATTCTCAACAACAAAATTTAAGATATTGATAATCATCAACGCTAACTTTTCTGGGTTCCTGGGTTGGGACTGGTACTTCTATATCATTGTGGTATTCGACTAGTTTTCCAATCCTCCCATTTGATAAGGGAAAACAAGGGCATTGACAAAACATTCGGTCATAAAAAGCACTTACCTCATTAATACCGGTATTATACATTACAAAAACAGAATTACGTTTAAAACGATGCTAAATGATAAGAGTATCAAAGAATTTTTCTGTAACTGAAAGCAAGAAGTTTACTCTATTTCTGATATAGAAATCATGCCACTAACATTCTAATAACAACCGCTTAACTTATAACTTAATTCCATACAATGTGGGTAATTTCTTCTTAGTCTATTTCACATTAGAGTTATTTTTCAAAACATCCCGAATCATTACTATAATTATATAGCAATGCTAATTGGTGGATCGAATCTGCAATTTTGATAGATTTTGGAAAATTGAGGATTTATTCAAAAAGAGAGTAAGACGAAATTGAGAATGGAAATGGGAAATATGTCAAAGAGACAACAACCCGACCAAAGAGCAGACAACAGCCGAAGGCCACCAAAGGGTCTTCAACGCAGCGAGAAAATCCCGCACCCGGAGGTGGTCCTCAGCTGGCCCCTAAATAAAATTGTGTACTAGTTCAGTGAAAATGGACGTCACACTAAACTCCAAAACATATAAATGAACTAAAATTAAAAAACATACAAGACCAACAAAGGCCAGAGGCTCCTGACTTGGGACAGGCGCAAAAATGCAGCGGGGTTAAACATGTTTTGTGAGATCTCAACCCTCCCCCTATACCTCTAGCCAATGTAGAATAAAGAAACACATAGCAATACGCACAATAAAACTCAGTTTAAAAGAAGTCTGAGTCCGATGTCAGAATAGGTAACAAAAGAAACTAAGCAAAATGACAATGATACATAAATGAACAAAGGACTACTAGCAGTTACTGACATGCCAGCTCCAGACCTCAATTAAACTGATTGAAAGATAATGTCTTCATCATATGAAAATCAAGCACAATCCCTCCCGTTAGGGGTTTAGTATCATACCATCATAAAACATATGAGAAGAACATAACCCGTATCATGCCAACAACTGGTTTTAGAATAAATGTGTTTATTTCCGATGCAAAGACCCTATGAGTGAATCAATACTAATACCAAAATGTGCAATCCTTAATGACTTGACAACAATATCGTAACTATATCCTTTCCAAATAAGTCTGTTTAAAGGTTTTGTTAGCTTTTGAGGTGAATGCCGACACTTTTGTGCTTTGTAAAGAATATTACCATAAAATATTGGATGTTAAATACCTGAACGTATAAAATGTCTGCATGTTGATTTATATTTACGAATGATGTCCTTGTACCGATGATAAAATTTAGTAAATGTTTTGACTAGTTTGTGATATCGAAAACCCTGGTGTAATAATTCCAATTCCAACATTCCAATTAAACCAAACCTTAATTTCATAGTGTATTATCTTTCAAATGCAAATTCATTTTTTTTTGTGCTGGATGCCCAAGTTAAATATACAAATGTGGTTTTTGGTTCATAAGTGTTTCTCGTTTCTCGTTTTTTATATAGATTAGACCGTTGGTTTTCCCGTTTGAATGGTTTAACACTAGTAATTTTTGGGGCCCTTTATAGCTTGCTGTTCGGTGTGAGCCAAGGCTCCGTGTTGAAAACTGTACTTTGACCTATAATGGTTTACTTTTATAAATTTTGACTTTGATGGAGAGTTGTCTCATTGGCACAGTGCCACTCATACCACATCTTCTTATATCTATATAAAACATGTAAAATTTACAATATTGTACCAAAACTGTATTCAACAGCCATAAAAGAGAGGCGAAAGATACCAAAGGTACATTCAAACTCATAAGTCGAAAATAAAGTGACAACGCCATGGCTTAAAAAGACAGACAAACAGACAAACAACAGTACATGAAACACAACATAGAAACTAAAGACTGAGCAACACGAACCCCACCAAATAATGGTCCTCAGGAAGGGTAAGCAGACCCTGCTCCACATGTGGCTGCCGTCCAGTTGCTCATGTAAGTACAAACCCGGTGATAAGTCCAATTCGGTAGGTCACATTCGGGTAAAAGGGGACGGGATTGTAGTTACAACAATTGGAACATATCCGTCGTCATCTGCGAAACGGATATTCCATAACGGTCAACTGGTTTAGTAGCTTCCTTGTGAGTAGCAACCCTTTACATTTTGATTTTATAAGTATTGTAGAATTGTTAAAAAAATTTTAATCAGTATTTTCCCTTCAAAATTGAGACTTACATTCCTTTGACTGTAAATTCAGATATAGGATAAACTTTATTTCAAACATATTTTATTCAGAAAACAACCGAAATTGATAGGATAAATGAGCCATTGAACAAGTTAATGAAACATTTAGTTTATTAAAATCCAAAATAAAGGATAACAATGCCATCTCAAGCTTTTTCTTCGATCTTCGAAACTACCTATATATGCCACTTATGAGTGTAATTCGTGACAATTGAAAATGAAAAAAATGTACATAACAGTAAATCCAAAGAGTCTATGTACATAAATGAACTGCGTTTACAGTACTTAAATATATAAACATTTAATGCATGCATTAAACCTCCTACAGTAATTATGCGTTGTTTACTTTTCATTATCGTACAAGAGTATGTGTCTCAGGTTTTATTTACAGAATTCCAGGAGTTCTTAAGGAGATAGCATCAACTGATTGTCTTCGTCTTGCTGGCTTTTTTGGACTGTACCCAAGTGTGTATGAACTTGTCAGAGAGGTGCTACAAAATATTCGTGACAAAAAGGTAATCGTTTCGAATGAACCGAAGATAATAAAGAAAACGTTATTAAAACTAGTAAAAACGATCTATACTGTGTAAGTCTTGCCGGTGATACAAACAATCATATTTGAATTAAAGTTTAACTAATTTTGAGTATAAAAATAAGAAGATATGGTATGATTGCCAATGAGACAACTCTCCACAAGAGACCAAATGACACCGAAATTAACAACTATAGTACTCCATTTCAAATTATCTGAGTTTTAGTTAAAGTAAAGAATAATATATTGTAGTTTCTAAATACACTTACTAGATATATATTATATATATTTTTATACTTCCAGGATGGTTGGAACAACTGTATAGCAGGAGGATTAGCAGGACTAACCATTATCATAGAAGATCCTACCAGACGACAAGTGGTTACGTTGTTTGCCATTGCAAGAGCATTTGGCGCCTTGATATCTACACTTGTTGTTCGTGGCAAGATTCCGTACATTGAATACAGCGAGACTCTTCTTTTCTGTCTCTGCTGTGGATTCCTCGTGTATGCAGTGGCGTTAAATCCAAGACTCTTATTTACAGGGTATTACTATTCAGTATTGAAATGGTCTCGTGACTATACTGACCAGAAATTGAACACTCTTTTCCGCAATCCAGGAGACAAATTTCTCACATGCAGTGAGGTTGGATTACATAAAGACTCTTGTACGAAGCATGCGATGAAAGATTTCTTTCAGAGCATTCCAGCATTTGCAAAATTATATTTTCCCATCCACTTGACGCCAGTGGTGATATTTAGAAGAAAACTATTACTGGAAAGGTATATTTGTTTTCCTTAGATTTTGATATTTTGAGCTACCAAAAGTAAGGATTTATCGAATTGTCCGACGAAGCTACCTAAACTTAACTTCATTTACGTATCAAACTTATCTGACAAACCTATAAAGGATTTGTACAGTGTAAGTGGTCTGAGAACATTAATATTGCTTTTGAATTTACACTCTATTATTTAATATGATCTTATATATTCATTCATAGAAATGCTACGTGCATACATTGATAAACATTGTGCCTTCAATTTAAGTAAAATCCTCATTTAGTTTATCATAATATAGTATTCTATGTGAACGGGTTGTATTTTCATTACTTTTCTCAATCATTTCAGACCCAGAAGAGTATTGAAGTCATTGTTGAAGAATACGGTGTTCTCGACTGCTTTCCTAGCAGCTATGGTGATGCTGGCAAAGTATGTCATATGTCTTCTAAGAAACTTCCATCAGCGACCACCACCATTACAGACCCACGTGCCTGTTGTTGCTGGTCTGGTCTGTGGACTAAGTGTACTGTTTGAGAGAGCTAACAGAAGGAAAGAGCTGTCACTGTTTCTGATTCCTCATACGTTATATGCTTTATATCAGTGGGGTCTGCAAAGGAAACTCATAAAGCATATACGTTACAGTTCCGTGGCACTTTTCAGTTTGTCCATGATTTCTGTTATGCATGCGTACGAGCGAGAACAAGACTCTCTTTCGATGCTTTTTAACGGACTTCTGAGATACTTCGTTGGTGAAAGGAACAATCTTATTGAACGGCCAAGAAGAACAAGAAACTTCAGTGAAATGATTGGTTAATTTTTCATATCGGTATCTAAACTTAACAAAATAATATATTGTAGCACTAACATGTCTTGATCTAAAATAGAATTCAACAAACAAATAACTAATTATGCCACTAACTAGTTTAGGAAATGGGTTTAAGAGAACAAAGAAGTATGATTAAGTTTAAATATGGGAAACTGATTGGTATATTTGATAGTCAATGGTCTGCACCGCAACCAAATATACCCTTAGTTTCCCGAAACACATATTATTACCATATTCAAATTTGGTATTAAACGTCTCTGCTGACTGCTGTTTTTAAATAAGTATTTTTTTTTATCGAAAATTTCTCTTGAGACAACAGGGTAAGTTAAAATTATAAATATGTTTAATCAAATGAGACCGAAGTAGCTGAAGGTTTTCGGTTAAAAAATTCATCTCGTTTCGATCACTGTATGAGGAGAGCAATGTTGCCAACAGACTCATTTCCTAGTTCTAAGTGACTACTTTGCTTCTTTTTTCCTTGAAAGATGTGGCCATGTTTTTAAATGACAGAAAAAGGGTTTAATCACCTTTTCATTTTGTTTCTGTAAAAATGCCCGATCCGTCTGAACAAGGACTATACAAATCCTTGGTCTGAATTCAACTAAACAGGCATATGAAATGTGGCACAATTAATTGGCATGTGTTGATCGCCAACAGAAATTGTTCGATTTTCAATCTCTTCTCTTCACGAGTAGGAGTTCTGTACAAAGATGCCACATTTGGTGTTAATAAGTTGGCATGTGTAGTAACAGAGACATACTAATTATATATTACTTAGTATACTTTATTTGGTAGTGGCCATGGTGCCACATACTTTGTTTCAGTCAAATTATCAGAGTTACTTTTCTTTGACTGGTAAAATGAATTATAAGACATTTCAACGAGTTATGTCTATCTGTTGATTGTTGTCTCTGTTTTTAAATCCTAAAAAAAAGCTGATTGAAAAGCGTATACAGCTTATTTAACCATATTTCACGTTATTCCCGAAGTTTTTAATATATTTTATAGATTATGATATTGGTGAATAAACAAAAGAGATTTTTTGACAGAAATGAGTTATAGGATACTTGAGCACTCTTGTTTTTCTATGTATTGTATTTTGGAGTTACTTTATGCTTTACTGAGTGAAGATCAATATTTGATAATACCGTTAATGTTTAATAAAACGGTTATTTTATGCAATACTTTGCGTCTAAATAAAAATACTCATAGTTTCCAAGGTTTATTTGTTGTATTAACAGTGCTATGAAAATAGAAGATGTAAGTATACGTCAATGAGACAGCAACCACACGACACAAATAACCAAAAGACACATAGGGTTCATCATATTGTCTTACTTGTCAAAGATCCATAGATAAGATAAAAGTAACATTTGACATCAATTGATAGAATAGCCCATCTTATAGACGGGTTGGCACATACTTCATCCGATCAAAACCAATTTTAACAAACTCTTGCGTCACTAGAAATGATTACCGTAAACTTGCATAATGCGAAAAAGCATCACTATGATTTAGCGCGATAATAGCGCTTTTGATTTTGTGAAATGTATGTAAGGATTGTATATCATGAGTTGATATACCATATCCTTTTTTTCCCGTAATGCATGATAGACTTATCAACTCATGCAGGCAATGTAGTAGCGTTAATTGAAATGCTGTGCAGTTTTGTTTTGTGCATTCTGTAAGATCGTTTCTCTCCCAGTACATATGGCGTTGCTGTATGAAATCTGCTCTGAAGTACAGCCACTGGTATTAGCATGTAAGACGGCACGTGGTTGTATCAACATGTTAAGTTATTTGAGTTTGCTTTCGGTAACTGCGAGCATTCTATGATATTGTATTGTTTTGTTTGTTCTTAGTTTTGTTATCTATACTAGTTTTATAAATATGATCTTTGGTTGATCCATAATTCCTAAATTGTACTGTGCTGTACAAGAGCAACAAGATCTGCAAAAGAAACTTGGTCAACATCCAACATGTGTACTAAGAGGTTTGCAGTATACCCCAGTCTGTGAAAAGAAGCGGATCGGACCTATACTAACGACTGCAGTGGATTGATTCTGGTAAAGAAATGAAAGTCTGCTATGTACCGAAAAACGTTTAAAGAAGTCTACTGAATCGTTGTAAGAACGCTTACCATGCTTACAGCGTCACAAACCTGTTTAATGAGATCTATAGTGGATTAGTACCTGTTTCAAAAAGTCTGTAGCTAGCCTTACGTGTTTGAGGATGTCTATACAGGGAACAAAATTATGTACCGGTTAGAAACCAATATTGGACTAAACCTGTGTATTGAAGACTAGTAGCTCCTATCTGTGTAAGAATCTTTGGAGGGGGACCTACTTAGCTAAAAAGTTTGTACAGAACCAAGTCTGTTTCATTAAATGAAAAAAAAAATTATATTTTTTGTTTTGTTTGTTATGTGTGTTTTTGTTTTGCTGCTTCAAATGCACATTTCTGGATTTACCTTATGCCATGCAAGGAAATCTGCATTGGACTCTATCTGTGACAGATTTGATAAAGGCCAATCCTGTAACAAGAAATCTTCATTAGGCTTAAGCTAATTGAAAAGGATGTCTGACGTGGCCTGATCCAACCTGTATAAGAAGTTTGCGCCGGTTTGGATGCGATATTGCTTAAAAGTATTGCTACTTGAAATGATTTTCTGAAAGGTTTTGTTATGGATGAGTTGCTATTATTTCTGGAAAAAAAGATACTATCTAAACATTCCCAGTATACCAGGAAGTTTGTAGAGAAAGCACTCTGACAAACAAAAAACTTGAAAATTTGTACGTTTCTGCTACTTCTCCACCTAGCATACGGCATTTAGTAGTAAGACTGGCTGGCTTCGAACCAGTTTACTGTTTCCAGGTTGGTGACATGCTGTCTCGTCGTGAACGTTAAAATGTTGATATTGTACCGGCATGATCGGTACGACATGATCAATCTGAAAATGCACGTAATAGTTGCCGCTGTGCATTAAGGTAGCATGCTACCGCTGAGCCCAAATGGCAAAATAACATTCACATCTTGTACAGGTTTAATTCATAGCAGATTCTTTATATCACAGACCTGGTGCACTACAAAACCCTTTCACATATTAGACATATGCAACCCTTTTGTTTTAAGCCACTGCAGACTTTTGTACGCAGGATGGACCCACTAGTTTTTAACACCGATTTGAGTAGGATCCTTTACATCTTCCTGCCATATAATTACTCGAAGTTAATGAACTCTCCAATATCTGTTAGATTTGTCTAATGGTTATGACACCTTGGATCTATATTAAGTGAGAATAGCCAGGTTGGTTGGTTGGTTGGTATAAGAGTTGTCCTTTTTGTCTACCGTTTTCTCAAATATTGAATTAAATTGCCTTGTCCTATTAGCTTTGCATTATGTGTTTGTAACGATAGCTATTGTTTCTCAACTGACTGTGATACAATATGTTTCAGTAAAGTCTAGAAACTTAATAACGTCAATGTCAACATTTTTGTCCTATTCAGAACTTGGTGCTGATGTCAGATCGTTTACTGTCTGTTTTTTTTACAACTTGTCCTCAATCAGGGAGAATTAACCATTGGAATATGGTATGGACACATATATGCTATTTTAGAACGCGTGTTGACTTCTGGTTCACTGTTGGGTGAAATTTTGTTGTTGGTGATGTCAAGGATTTGTATAGTACTATACAAATCCTCGGTGATTTTTAGTCTTATTGGAACAAAAATTATCTTGAAAGGATATAATATATATTCCTTCAATAACAACAGATGCAAAGTGACAATTTGAATTATGGTGGTCCTTCAAGCCTACTCAGTCTACAGAAGACCACAGAATATATACAATTTAAAAAATCATGATCCCATTTAAATTCATACATTGCAAAAATAGAAGTGGTATGATTGCCAATGAGACAGCTACCAAAGACAAAAGGACAAGAAGAAGAACTACTGGTCACCCTTGGGCTTAAAACAAATAAAAAGAGAAAATAAATAGCCTAATTCAAGCTTACAACATAAACGAAAGACAATGACAGACAGAAACCAACCACTACTACACTACATGAGGACAAGAACACAAAGAATGTGGTGGTATTAAACATGTTTGTGAGTGCAAAATCCTTTATTTAACTTATTTAACTTGGAAAACTGATGTAACAGTACAGCAATAAAACAAACTGCAAAAGATCAATTGAAAAGAGTTTGACTTGTGAGATTAGTACTGAGCACAAAAACCAAATGACAAAAAGTCACTAGGAGTACTAACAATTACTGAAAGCTAGTTCAAAGACCAATTTCAATTGAAATATAATTCAGCACACTGTCACTTCCAGCAGATATATTGTAAAGGCATCATAAACAGGTGCAGAAAACCATGACCTTGTGCAAACCAAAATATAAGTAGCAACATGATGCAGCACCATTTTACTGGCAGTGAACAAGACCTAGTGAAGACAAAAACTGACAAAGAACAAAAACTAGTGGAGATAAGATAATTAAATCATGTTTGTGCTGTCATATCTTTATTTGAGCTATTGAAACAAGTTGAACTTTGAACTATTGCTCACTAATAATATCCAGCTAAATGTATTTGTGATGAGTGATAAATGTGAAAGTTCATCACATGGTATAGCATGCTCACATGAAACTTTACCAAATTTCAGGAAGCTCTGTTTTATAGTTCCTGAGAAAAATGTGAATGCTCACATGGAGGTTTCTACCAAATTTTAGGAAGCTCCAATTTGTATTTCATACGAAAAATGTAACAAAATTTCATGGGATAGATAGATGTAAACCATTATACCCCTTCCTTTGAGCAAGGGTATTATTATTGGTAATCCTTTAACCATGCCCTAAGTTATCAATGTGTGTACTACTAAATGAGATTCATCATCAACTGACAAAATCTTGTGTTTTTTGTTTTGTTTTAAGACAACTACAAAGTCAGGCTTCATTTTTCATTGTCCTCATGTGGTTGACTATTTTTTGTTTTATATTTGATTTATTGTAGATGAATGTTGTAGCTTTCCACCTTTTTAATATGTTTTATGCTGTTATTCTAATCCATCATTATGTAAGAATTTTCACTGCTGTCTACTCAAATAAAAACATTTGTAAACACAAGAGACATTAAAACATCAAATCTTTTCATATTATTTTTTTATTTTGATCAAGTTATGGTTTTCATGATGACATTTTGATACAAAATGTTCAGTGTATCAAAAATAACAAATAAAATGTACACTTTACAGTAACAGATATCATCACATATAAAACCATTGCATCTTTATAATTGCATAGTAAATCATAGAAAATAGAATTGTGTACATTGTCCATTATTTGCTAAATAGGTAACATATAAAAATACTATTGAAGTTCAATAAAAAATTTCCTTTGTATAAATTTATATAGTAAGGACATTAATATGTGTATATAAAAATGTTGCTATTCAGAAAAATCTCCATGACAACCATGTTGACAGATTTTGAAATTTCTTAGTCAGTGCATGTTTTGTGATAAAAATATAAATAAATAATAGCACTTTCACAATTAAATATAAACATGCCATACTTTTTTATCTATACTGTCTGTGTATAATAAATTGTTATTTGTCCACCTTGTATACTTGGCACTTGGAATATAAGAAATGCTACAAATTATACTACTGTTAAAATATGGCATCCCTTCCTTAATTACTACCAAATACAATTTGGGCAAGATTTGATTAATTTATTCACCTATTTACAATACACTTTAAAATTCTATTTGAGAGAGGAGAGGTGAAGACTTTACAAGATTTGGACTTAAAAATGTACAAAATAACAAACAGAGCACTGTACACGTTGATACTGTACAGTATGCCACAATTTCACAGATATACATATATACAAATTACAAATGTACAATTTGAGTATTATTCTGTATTTATACATAAAATAGATATACAAACATTTTAAAGAGTATATCAACCATTTATATGAGGTAAAATCTGAGGTATTGCCAATAACATTCTCAGTATAAACAATTACTGCATTACTTCCCTTTAACCAAAAAATCATTACATCCCCCTATTGTTTAATCTTGAAATTGGTGTACTTTTATAACAAAAATATTCTTTAAGAACTTTTTATTTTTCAAATATCTCATTGATATATCTAGTCAGTAAAATTTCCCAATATTAATATGTATTTTGTTTTAACACATAGAATACATGTACCAAGAGGAACATACAAAAATGTTTATGAATATTAATGGCATGATAGAAAAACACAAATACATGTATCACAGGCATTACACAAACGTCACTTCCGTATCAAGATATGTCCATGATTCATGATCTGATGAAACGTTAGTAGAATTTCTACGAAGTCCTGAGCTACGACTAGAAGTATCAGAATCATCACTGAAACTGTCGTGGGCTTGTGGCCCACCTAAACGTCTATGTGACAGAGATGATTTTGTCTGTGGAATGTTTGCACTATTGTCTGTATTAGAACTACTACAACTACTATTACTTGAGGAACTCATTCGAGCATTGTCACGACGAAACGGAGGAGGAGGTTGGTAAGGAGGAGGTGGAGGTCGCGATTCACTTGAACTGCTGACTGATGACTGTCCTGAACTGTTCGAGTTTACAAACACAGATCGTAAGTTTTTAACACTCCACGGTAAATCTGCAGAAGAGTCTCTCTTTGGAGTAGTTACCGGGTCTCGTTTTGATTTCCATACAATTGAATTTTTAGATTCAACTTTAGTTGTAACATTAGCACCTACAGTTTTACTAGAAGATTGTTCCTGACTTTTATTACTTTCTCTAGCACCTGTGAAAAATCGTGGTTTAGCAGGGTCTCTTATCACACTTGTTTCTTTTTGTTCCACATCCCTAGAGTATAAATTTGTACGGTCCTGAGAACGTGAGAAGTCTCTAGATTTGTATGAGTATCTAGTCTCCACTGATGATTCCCTACTTTGAATTTGTTCAGTTGAGCTTCGTTGTTGGGTTTGAGCACTACGATTTTGAGCAAAATTGTCTGAAGTTTTAGGAAAATAGTGACGACTAGTTACAGGACTTGAATCGGATCGATCACGTCGATATGGTGGAATTTGTTGACTTTCTGTGACAGTATCTGAGGAGCTATTGGATACACTAGAAGATGAGTAGTTCAACTGAGCATTTGGTGAAGAATTTCGACTAACTTCATGTATCCTCCTGTCAGTAGCTAGAGGAGATTTTTCCCGAGTAGGACTCCTCCTGCTATGTATTCCAGCTTTGTCTGATGAATCACTTGCACTACGATGTAAGTGAACAGGGGATAAAAGGCTACTATCTGGAATCAATGATTTTTTGGCTGAAGAAGTATCTAGTGAACTACTTTTAATTTGCTCATAAGCTTTCAAAGATTCCTCGAAAATTTTCTTTGGGTCTTTCTTCATCATTGTATTTTCCTCTTCAATACCCTCAGAGGAATCACTGTCACACTCCTCCTGTTCTATAATTACCTCCTCCTTTCTTGAAACTTCCTTGCGATCAATATTTTGAACACTTGGGCTATTTAAATGCTCCTCCATATATTTGCGTAGGGATTCTTCATACAATTGCTTTGCAAGTAAACTTGCTTCTTTTTGTTTCTGGCTATCTTGTTCAGAAATCTCTAATGGAATTCCATGTTTAATCATAAAAGTTCTCTGACAAGCCTCATCATAAGATGGAGGCCTGTCTGGTCGGTTTGGTGAGTTTGACAAAGTCCTATTGATATCACTATCACTGTCACTTTTCACAAGAGGGTATGGAGGTGTGCTTAACTTTCCAATATTAAGTTCTGAATGATGAAATTCATGTTCCCTCTTTTGATCACTACCTGAACTATCTGTGCTATTTCTACGTACTTGTGAAATAATGGCACTGTCATGACTTGCACGCATTGGTGTATTGTCACGTTTTTGCTGTTTCTGGTGTAATTTTAATACAACACCAGGTGGCGGTGACGTTCCTAGTCCATATTTTGTGAAAGCCTTTAAAGGCAAATTTTGTCTAACATCATTAGCAGAAGCACTAGAACCATATTTTGTTTGTAAAATGGGGGACATATGATCATTTTCTTTGTGTTCCTTAAATTCATAAGTAGAAAGCTCAAATCTTGGCTTGATAATGTCCTCGGCTTCCTTGTAACTATTGGAGCCAGATCCTTTAGTCGGATTGGAAAGTTCCAAAGGAAATGACCTTCTCACTGAAACACCTTCTTTAGAGTTTGAATTGAACACTTTACGGGAATTTTTCGGTGAAATAGGTGGGGATATTAAAGAGTTAACATATTTTTTAGAGGGGCTTGTCCTCCTAGCACTAGAATACTGACTGTTCAATGAATTATCGTCTTGACTCTGTCGTAATCGATCACTACTTGAGCTACATTCTGAATAATGTGAATCACTTTCATGTGACATTTGTCCTTGCATGAATGAAGAACAGGATAATGAGTGGGGAATTCCACTATCAAAAGAACTTCCACATGACAGTCTAGATTGAGGTGACTTAGGAGGATTACTTTCAGTAACTGAAGCTTGTCGTATCAATTTCCCATTTCCTCCTTGTGGAGAGCGTTGAGTTTGAATTTCAATCTCTGATACATAGCGTAAGTTATTATTGCTTGATTCCCTATTGTTTTCATCTAGAAATAAATGAGCACCACTTGATGATTTGATTAATGTTCCATAGTCTGATTGACGTAAAAATTCATATGGAGTTACCCGTTGATCCTCATGATCTTCTAACGACTGTAAAGACTCCGCTGAGTTTCGTTTGAATTTTTGATAGCCTTCAGCACTATAACTTTGGTGCATTGTATTTTTAACACCTTTGGCCACTTGGTCCTTTTCATTTGAGTATTCACGCTTTTTATTTTTCCTGGGAGGAGGTTTTGGATTTTCATAAGCAGTGTCATAGCTACGACTCACATTTTCTGAATGTTTTGATTTGTCTGAATCACGATCCATATACTGCGATATACTCCTATTATAATTTTTTCTGTCTGTTAAATTCTCCATGCTACCATCGTCATCATATAACTGAGCATCACTTAGGGTAAGTCCTGAATCTCGGCTTAGATTTGAAGGCGATAAATGACTTTTGACAAGATTAGGACTTGAATCAAATTCTCCATATAGATCATGTTCTAAACTATCCATAGAATAATTATCTGCACGCATTCCACCTGTGGACAAAAAGAAGAATGTTATTGAAATCTATTTTAATACAACAAAATATTCAAAAGTATCCAATTATTAATAATCATTTTTCAGATATATACATATATTGCAATGGTTTACTGTCACTATTCTTATAATTTCACTTTGTAGATGCATAACAAGTGTTGAATTTCAGCTGTTTTAAACTATATATTCTGATATTTTCCATCAAGAGTTGTTTCTGTATTTTAAGGCAACATCTCATTTATCTCTTCTGATAAACTTGTTTTCGAGAACCATTACAGAACTATGTCATGTGACTGAATTATCTCCCTTGTCGGTTATCTTTTATTTGTTTTGTTTTAAAGACTTAAATATGTTTTATAACCTTTTTTTCATGCTGTATTAATGATTTTTATGTGTCTATTTTTGTGAAAGTACTTTTCCTTTGAACATATAAATAGTTTTATATTCAATGCCTTTACGTAAAATGTAAATATCTTACTTCCAGAATCTTGAGTACTGAGATAGCTATGTACACTATCCGAATCTGTACTTGAGTCTTGTCTGATTTTCTGTTCATCCCCAAACAGACTTAGTGTTTCCACGCCAAAAATGGAACCACAATTATCAATCAGGTACATAATTGCCTTATGTGGTGATTGGGTGGCCATTGGGTCTTTGATTTGCTCCTTGGACCATAATATACTAGGTGTGATACACACTGCTAAGTTATATGAGGTCATCATATTTTCACTGTGCTTTTCCTGAACATGGTGTAATACACAGATCAAATGCCGCAGGAGGTCAAAGTGTGAAGGTGGCAACTTAAACAGCAATCTGCAAATACAGTTAAAATAGAGTTATATCCCCTGATATATAAAAAGCCTAGCCTCTTCACATTCAAAGTTACTTCCCTTGATTCATGAAGTCTATTTGATGTTTTTCTTACTTTCATAATTAAACATTTTTTTTTCAAGTTTTTAAAACTTGTTAATAAAAATGTTCTTTTTTTAGAGATAATGTACTTTGATAACCTCAGTCTTTACATTTAAATTGTATTTTATTTGGTTGTAAAATTGCTAAACCATTTTATTACAGAATAAAATGTCTTTGAGATTAAGTTTTTTGACTTTGTTGTTGTTTACACACCTTTGCTATAATTACAGGTAATTATTTGATAATTACAATCATCCTTTTGGGATCAGGTAACATTTATAGATCTTGCTGATCAAATCTTTTGTCACTTGTTTACATAAAAGGACAGATTTTTATGATAACAAAAAAATTACATTTGTCAAAAGTAATAGCTGAGGGCAAACTTCTAAAAAGCAAAAAAACATTTTTCATCTTATTTTGTTTATGAGAGTTTTAATGTAAAGTTTATTTAAAATCTTGTAATGTTCTGTAATGTTGCCTATATAATTATCTTCAATTCCTACCCGTAGTTAAAAGGAGGATTCAAAAACTTTCATAATCATTTTATTTATCTTCTTTTGAATGTCATTTTAAAACTATTCCCTTTTAAACTTACTTAAATGGCAACAATAAAATTAAGTTTGCTATGTATGAAATTTTACAAATTTACTTTAAAGTTTTCCAACATTTCTACATAAATGACAGTGGTTGAAATGAAATAAGGGTGTAGCTTATAACACTGCTGACATTAAAAAGGCCTCTGCATTATTCTGTGCATTTAAAAAGAACAATTCCTCAATTGCAGATTTAACAAAGCAAATAAACAATATCAAAATGCAGTCAATTTGCATATCATTATTCATTTCCCAGGACCTTTTACAAATCAAATATATAAAGATGTATCAAGTTCATACTTTTTTTGTTGGTTTTTGAAATATATGACAAATTATCACACATAGTAATTTTTCTATAAAAAATGAAAAAAGTAAAATACTATTACAATATTGCAAATCTGAATTTTAAATTAAATCTGAACAATTTATTTATGACTTAATTTTAACCAGAGGATTGTGGTTTTTATTTTTATTTATGTTACTCCTACAAACTAAGGTTAGCGGAAGTAGCTAGCTCCTCTAGGCAGTCGTCAATTATATGATCAATATATCCTTAACCAATGATCCATGAATAGCGTAATTAAATTAAAATCTAACTTTGAAATTCACTCCTTTTAATTACCTACTTTAAACCTAGTGACCTGCTGAACAGGTATGGGTAAGGTCAGTTAGGTTGGGTCAAATGATATTATCGACATTGACAAATGTCAACAACTTGACATACCTGAAATTGACACGCCATTTTAACACCAATTTTCGTGTTTACTTTTTGTAAAAATATACAATTTTTAACATTAAATGAAGCAGAATAGATTTTATAATTGCTAACGCTATGTAAAATTACAACAAGAAGTTTTTAATACAATTGAAGGTCATTGGTAGTAAATCTGAATACTTTTTGCATGTCCAATCTCATTTTTAAACATCTTAGAAAAGACAGCAGTTTCAACTTTCACCACAAGCCTTTTAAAACCTTACACCAGAATTGGTCAATCTTTACAGATCTCAAAAGAATTTTTACATGAATTTCCAAAGTATAGTTTGTTTATCATTCAATATTTTCTGTTTTCTTGAACTGTGCATCCCCCTTTTTTCCCAACTAAGTGTTTAAGTACAGGTGTACTTACTGTTTAACTTTATTCATTTTTGCTGAACTATCATCCTGCTCACTTAGCGCTACCCATTCATTGTAATGGTCCTCCAATAACAGACAACGAGGTAGATTCCTTAAATAATCCTGAAAAATATACATACATCAATTCAATATCCTCTTCATTGAAAGCCATTAGATGACCATTCAATTATTAAAATACACAGATTCCCTTATCAACCTCATACTTGCCTCTTGATGAAAAGCTCTTTTCACCATATTCAAATTTTATTTCAGAGTTGTAAATTAAGTTTTTATATGTACTTTAAGTATTCTTAGAATTTATTTTTGTAATATTAAAAGTAAACTCTTTACTTTGATCATATTTAACTGATGGGTTTACCTTGAGAACTGAACCAACAACTAGTGTCTGAATATTTGTAATATTAAAACTAAACTGTTTACTTTGATGATATTTAACTGATGGGTTTACCTTGAGAACTGCACCAACAACTAGTGTCTGAATATTTGTAATATTAAAACTAAACTCTTTACTTTGATGATATTTAACTGATGGGTTTACCTTGAGAACTGCACCAACAACTAGTGTCTGAATATTTGTAATATTAAAACTAAACTGTTTACTTTGATGATATTTAACTGATGGGTTTACCTTGAGAACTGCACCAACAACTAGTGTCTGAATATTTGTAATATTAAAACTAAACTGTTTACTTTGATATTTAACTGATGGGTTTACCTTGAGAACTGCACCAACAACTAGTATCTGAATATTTGTAATATTAAAACTAAACTGTTTACTTTGATATTTAACTGATGGGTTTACCTTGAGAACTGCACCAACAACTAGTGTCTGAATATTTGTAATATTAAAACTAAACTGTTTACTTTGATCATATTTAACTGATGGGTTTACCTTGAGAACTGCACCAACAACTAGTGTCTGAATATTTGTAATATTAAAACTAAACTGTTTACTTTGATGATATTTAACTGATGGGTTTACCTTGAGAACTGCACCAACAACTAGTGTCTGAATATTTGTAATATTAAAACTAAACTGTTTACTTTGATCATATTTAACTGATGGGTTTACCTTAAGAACTGCACCAACAACTAGTGTCTGAATATTTGTAATATTAAAACTAAACTGTTTACTTTGATGATATTTAACTGATGGGTTTACCTTGAGAACTGCACCAACAACTAGTGTCTGAATATTTGTAATATTAAAACTAAACTGTTTACTTTGATCATATTTAACTGATGGGTTTACCTTGAGAACTGCACCAACAACTAGTGTCTGAATATTATCATCTAAACATTCTTCTCCTTCGTCCAGTTTTTCATGGATTTCCTTACATTTCACTGAGTTTGCTGATTTCCTTAATATTCCTTTTGTGTATGGACCATCACGATACATTATCCTGAGCAGGCACTAAAAAAAGTCAATCAGAAAATATATAATACAGACAATAATTTTCAGAACCTCTCCATTTCAAACGAGTTTTTTTCTTTGGCAAATAATATAATATATTTCTTTTTTAAAAGCAAATTCTGTCTCGTAATGAGATAAATGATACAAATTTTTTGCTATTTGTAAATTTTAAGATATTATTTTCTTTCATAGTAGAAATAATGACTTTCTATAATGTTTTTCTTACCATAACAGCTTTAGGGAGGCCTCCATCTATGACCAAGTCATCCAAAGGTCTTCCAAAAAGTTTTCCAGTTGGAGAAGAGTTATTATTTTTGTCATCTTTACCACGACGAAAAATACTAAACGGTGAACGTCTTGGTTTCTTCATACTCTTTCCTGAGGAGTTTTCATCTGTAAAAATAAAGGGTTATTCTATTCAAATAATTTACAAAAAAAAAAGAATAAAAATGTTAAAATCACAAAGCAAACATTACTTTTTCATACTGTATAACAACAGTATATATCAATATGCAATAAAATCTTACCCAATCTCCTGAAATCCAAGTCACCCAAACTTTTGCTTTTATGAAGTAACTTTGATCTCATCTTTCTAAACAAAAAATCACTAATTTTCGAAAAAAGTATAAATTCCGAACAAAATATTTAAATCATCCTAACTCTATTGACGAAACGCAGGAAACAATTTCCTGCCTAGTGCACCACACATAAAACACAAAATGATTAAACGGGGTAGGTAAAAAGTCCGTGAATCATATTTATGTATTGGTCCTTGTAAAATATTGGGGTGATTAATTGTGTTTGGTTTGTATGGTTTACCAATATCTATCAATCTAAGGAAGTCAATTTTTACCTTTAAGGTATATATACACCTACATAACTACAGGTAAATTTGACGACCTTTTGATGTTAGGTTTCTATGAAGAGGTATCAACTATAATTTGTGTAAATAAGTCAATTACATCATGATTATAGTAACTTTACCCCCATGTGACTGATAATGTGAAAGTCATGAATGAACCTCTCACCATGGCAAATCCATTCACATAAAAAATAAGTGTTAATTACGTCCAAGTAAAAAACTTACAATTTGTTCGAGACTTTTGTATAGATAATTTTGTCAATATTATAATTACATCAAAATCACGATATCTTTTAAAATAGTAATTAATTTGCATGTTTAAAACCCTTAACTACATATATTCATAGATGTTGGTTAATTTGTATGTACATGTACCTTGATCAATTTCCATTTTTTATATCTGCATGACAAACAGATTTTGACATCTGTGCACAATAAATATTACATAGTATAACATGCTTTGGACATACAGCTTGTCACAATTGCATTTGACGAATCACCTTTCATTCAATTTGCTGTCAATCTTTTGCATTGTCATAAATAAAACAAGAAATTTTCATGGAAAATATCATAAGTTTTACTTGTTTTCAATAGAACTGCATGTACTTTTAATATTAATCATAATAAATCTTTGAGTGACAAAATATTAATTTTGTACGTAAAACTTTTGATCTGAACGTGGAGTACAAACGTTCACTGAATTAACGTCATAGTGTGTTTGTGTTGAGCTATATGAATATATCTGCATATTAATTTCCTTTGATATTTTAATTGATGACAGTTACAATTGACATTAATTACTATATTTCAGGTATATTATAAAGGTGTAAAGAATACATGTACTAATTAGTTCAAAGTTGTTTATCAATAACAGAATTTACTTTCAAATTCCTTTCACTGAATGTCATCTTGGCCGTTTATTTAAATAATCCCTTATCTATCCATTGTATGTAAATCTTTTAAGATTTTAAGGGGATTAACAGCTTCAAAGGTCTAAATTTGGGGGATTAGAACAATTCAGTCCATAGTACAATTATTCTGTTATTTTCTTATTCAAGGGTCATTTGTAACTGGAGGTGTTATAAGCTAGATGAATCCATTCATTTAAAGTTTGTAACCATGTACTGGCATCAGAAATGATGTCTAAAGCTTAACTTAATTCCTAGATTAGACAAAACATTAAAATGTCAGACAACTAAAAAAAAATGTAAAAAGTCTAGCTCTTCATACTTAATTTTCAATGTTGCTCATTCTATGCATGGTTTTCTGTGTTGTGTTTTGTGTACTGTTGTCTGTTTTTTTTTCAGCCATGGAATTGTCAGTTTATTTTCAACTTGTGATTTTGAATGACCCTTTGGTGCCCTCGCCTCTCTTTTACTATTGAAATTTCAATAAAGAAAAAGGGCAATCAATGCAAAAACTATTTGCTGCCATTTTCATTTTTAATTGTAAGAAGAGGCTTTTATAGTTTAATTTATATATTTTGATGGAAGAACACAGATGTTTTAAACCAAAACTACTTAAAAAGTAACTACTTAATTGTAATCATTCAACTTTTGTTTCAAAATGTCTTCAAAAACTGATGACATTATCACAGGATCTTTTTCTTTAATTGTGTTGGTTCTTAACTAGCCTATTTTTGTTGTTTGCTAATTATATACCTGCTTTATCATGCTAAAGACAAGAGGCTTTAACAATGATCTTTTACATAACCTGATAAAGAGATTTAAGATTATCTGTGAGTAAATATTTCCAATTTTACATAAATATATATATTGTTTGTTTTTCTGTTAAAATCAAAGAACTAAATAATCTTGTTATCACTGTTTAATTTTTGACTTATCTAGACAAATTCAATACAATGTGATTTGGTCTAATCATAGAAAAAGACAAAGATATTACCATTATGTAAATTTACGTCAGTGAGAGTAGATAGATCACATTTCTCACTTTCTATAGACTTTCTCTATGGAAAATTCTTCTTTTAAGATTTGCCGAGGCATTAAATTGGAAAAATTAATCAAAGATAATAAAATCGGCAACTCAAACAATAGAAGTAGAAAAGCAAATCGAAGCATTACCAAACACTGTGAAGGACGGTGATTAAAGTCAAAGATTAAAAGATATTTTTGTAAAACCTTACTTCATGACTTTGTAGAAATTAAGTCGTTAAGGTGTTAATTAAGACAATAGGATTACAATATAAATTATAAAATGACCATTTAATTTTTGACAATTTTACACACTTGACTGGCATTTTTATAATATTTAACCAAGATAGATTATGATCTTTGAACACTGGTTGTTCAATATTATGTTGAATTTTACTACTATTGATACGATGTTTTAATTAAAGGCACATTTAAAAACTTACAAGTACAATTAGGTAAACAGAGTGTTGAAAAAATATAAACCCAGCTGCAACAGTACTACATCCCATAATATGTAAGTTAAAATTATCTACCTAAATTTGGCTTTTTTGTGGACTTCCTGTGCTTTAAAATATATTCAACATTGCTTCCTGCAGAATTCAGGTCAAGAATTTCTCCGTTTGATGGCAGGGAAACATCTCCATTTTTTGACTGGTAGCTATCTCTCAACTGACTCATTTTAATACTGTATGGTAATTCATGACCTGCAAATGAATAAAAAACAGTTAAAATTTGATTTCTCTCCTATTTAAAAATATCTGCAAGTGCTCATTTGGTTTTAGTCTAAATTAAAAACATATTTTTTCTCTTAATTCTAAATTTTATCATTCTAATTATTATTGCATTTTTGTTTGAATTATCGTATCTTAAAATTTAAACATATACATGTATGATATCAAATGACCAGAAGCCTAATGTCAGACATTTTACTTACCTTCATTCAAGAAAAGTAACATATTGTCATTTGAATTGAAATCCAAAGAATTGTCACAAGTGAAAATAATCATGTCATTAAAATTTCACAAAAATCCATTTTCCTGCAGGTAGTTATTTTGTTCAAAACTTTCACTGATGATTAAATTCTCCTTATCAATTTGATATATTTCCCAGTAAATAGATACTTGTGATGTTTACACACAATTTAACCCAACTACCTACTTTACAACCAAAAATTGTCAACCTGTGTTGACCTGAAATTTACATGTAGGTGGAGCAATTATTATTTAAACCAATCAAAACACAGACACACCTGTCAATCATGTCCTACTATTCAGGTAACAAACAAGTGATTATGTATTACACAATTTTGTGAACCTATTATGTTTTATCAAAATATTTTTCACCTTTAGAATTTTGGACATTTGAAATAATAATAGGTTACTCCTTTTGTTTTGTTAGAAAAGAATTTTGTTGAAATGCCCACATAAGGTCAACTAAAGTTTCAATTAAACTACAGAATGTTTGTCAACATGTTGAGAATTTCAGTATTCTGTTACAAAATAATTGTTTTTTTGTGCATATAACATATTCAATTGCAGGTTATTTAGTACTATTGCTTAACATCAGAATTTCTTCCCACAACTCATTTGCATAAAATATATTAAAGGAGAATTTTCTATTCTTAAAGTAGACCACAATTATTTGTTTATCATTAATTATGATCCATAAATAAACTAAAATTAATGTTTTTTAAGAAATAATGAGATCCCACTTGATGGAATACACCTGTTTTGATAACCTAAACTAATAATAGAGGCATGGTAAACCTTCCTTAAATAGTTGAGGTTGGTCCTGATGGCTACAGGGTCCAAACTTGTTTGTAAACAATCACTTCATGAACTTGTGGGGAAGGATCTACTTTATTTAAGCTTTCATTTAAAAAAAAATATAGCCTAATGAAACAAATATGAAACAAGAAAAGACCTTAAACAAAAATAAGTGAAAGACATCTTATATTCATAAAAATGTTAAATATATGCCTCACTAACCAAACCTTGACTCTACACCAGAATTATATGAAAAATACCAAACCCATTAAGGTCATTTAGAAAGTTGGCATAAATTCCCATTTAAATAACATATATTATCTGCTACATCAACAAAATGTTGTTTTCATATTTATGATAAATGGAATTTAATTCTTGTTTACAAATTTCATAAGGAAAATATCTTGTCACTTTTACTTTCAATCCCGCAATAAATAACAAAGTCAAACCTTAAACTGTCATTATCAAATTATTAAAGAGTAAATTTCAGCCATTTATCATGGTGATTTCAAATAAATCTGACCTATTTCACAAGTTTATTTGATTAATACAGATGATTTCCTACCTTTTGTACAGCAATCAGGTAAAAGGACAGGTATCTAATTAATATCACTCATACCTGAATACTGAGTAACAGTCTTACTTTAATGAAACGACAGATTAGGCTCTACAATCATTTAGAATTCACAGCAATGATAAAAATATTCTCTTTCTTAGTCGTTGAGGACTAAAATGGACATAAGCCTTCATCTGTTAATGATTTATAAAGATAACAATGGTAGGAATGCTCAGTCAAACAAGTTTGTTTTTTGCATGTACAGAAATGAATTTGACAAAATATTTTGCAATATCCTCCCTATGATCAAATCCATTTGGTTCTGTTGCACTCCCAGTATAATTTGTGTAAATATTGAAAAATCTTTTTCATGTTATTCTTATTCTTATGCTTAAGTTTTATTACTAATTGTGCACTGAAAATCCATGTTCTTCAATACTATCTAATATATATATATATATATATATATATAAAGTATTGTCTTACAATTGTCCGATTGCCAAAAAAGTACGAATTTATAATGACGACCCTTAATCTTAAAACACTTCTATCTGCTTGTAACTAAAACTTTAGGACCTTTAACAATATAATGATACTATCATTTAACAACAACACTTTGTAAATGGCAGGACGTCAAACTGTAGAAAATGTTTATAGTTACAAATAGTAAGACTACTGACAGGAATTATAGGGCACAAAATTGGAAACTTTTAATTTCAGTGACATTTGTAAACATGTCAAGTGTCCAGTTCTTCATTTTTCAAGCACCTGATCAAACTCTCACTTTATTTACAGTGTAGAGTTCATTTCCAGAAGATACACATAATTTATGGTATAACTATTCCAATTCTTCAACTGACCATCAAATTTATCCGCATGAACAAGCTTTGTTTTGTTAAAATGTACCGTGGAGTTTTACTAGGATGTATACGATATTGCTGACAGATTTTCTTTTATTTACGTTTATTATGGAAATTCTTAAAATGACAATAAACCCTTAGTAGTGAAGAAGTTGTGTCAACTACTTCAATGTGACCAAATACACATTCATTTTTAAGAATAAAGCATTCTATGACAATGAAAAACTAATAAACATGATTGTCAGATATTAAATAAATCAAAGAGTCAATGTTTATTATCACTGATACAGTATTTGAGTCATTGATCCATCTTAACAAAATAAAGAACACACTCGGAAAATTTAAAGATAATGTCACAGGGTACCTACTTTGCTTAAACTTACGTTTCAAATTTTAAAAAAGAAGGTACAATTAGAACAGAGCAAGTACCCTTTTCTGATAAAACTGCTTAAAAACCTTTTAATATTTTTAGAACCTATTCGAGAATCAAATGTGAGTAAAGGCTTTCCACTTGTTAGAGCTCTTATTATTACAAAGTTTAACAAAAAGAACGGAAATAATTACTGGTAAATGCTTGCTATGAACAAACAGATATGTATCCTTTTTAAATACTCGGAACATGTGTGAGGTTTTTATTGTTGAGAAAATTATGAATAAACTATAAAATACGAAGTTTCCAAAAATAAAAGTTTGCCATTATTTGGTGGGGATGTATATCAATCCTATGTATCTTTTTTATAACCCAATCAAAAACTAACTTATGTCTAATCCCACCCTGAACCCTGAACATAAGTACTAGGTTCAGCAAGGAACCCTAAACATAAGTAATAGGTTCAGCAAGGAACCCTAAACATAAGTACTAGGTTCAGCAAGGAACCCTAAACATAAGTACTGGGTTCAGCAAGGAACCCTAAACATAAGTACTAGGTTCAGCAAGGAACCCTAAACATAAGTACTAGGTTCAGCAAGGAACCCTAAACATAAGTACTGGGTTCAGCAAGGAACCCTAAACATAAGTACTGGGTTCAGCAAGGAACCCTAAACATAAGTACTGGGTTCAGCAAGGAACCCTAAACATAAGTACTAGGTTCAGCAAGGAACCCTAAACATAAGTACTGGGTTCAGCAAGGAACCCTAAACATAAGTACTAGGTTCAGCAAGGAACCCTAAACATAAGTACTAGGTTCAGCAAGGAACCCTAAACATAAGTACTAGGTTCAGCAAGGAACCCTAAACATAAATACTGGGTTCAGCAAGGAACCCTAAACATAAGTACTGGGTTCAGCAAGGAACCCTAAACATAAATACTGGGTTCAGCAAGGAACCCTAAACATAAGTACTGGGTTCAGCAAGGAACCCTAAACATAAGTACTGGGTTCAGCAAGGAACCCTTAACATAAGTACTGGGTTCAGCAAGGAACCCTTAACATAAGTACTGGGTTCAGCAAGGAACCCTAAACATAAGTACTAGGTTCAGCAAGGAACCCTAAACATAAGTACAGGGTTCAGCAAGGAACCCTAAACATAAGTACTGGGTTCAGCAAGGAACCCTAAACATAAGTACTAGGTTCAGCAAGGAACCCTTAACATAAATACTAGGTTCAGCAAGGAACCCTTAACATAAGTACTGGGTTCAGCAAGGAACCCTAAACATAAGTACTAGGTTCAGCAAGGAACCCTAAACATAAATACTGGGTTCAGCAAGGAACCCTAAACATAAGTACTAGGTTCAGCAAGGAACCCTAAACATAAGTACTGGGTTCAGCAAGGAACCCTAAACATAAGTACTGGGTTCAGCAAGGAACCCTAAACATAAATACTGGGTTCAGCAAGGAACCCTAAACATAAGTACTAGGTTCAGCAAGGAACCCTAAACATAAGTACTGGGTTCAGCAAGGAACCCTAAACATAAGTACTAGGTTCAGCAAGGAACCCTAAACATAAGTACTGGGTTCAGCAAGGAACCCTAAACATAAGTACTAGGTTCAGCAAAGAACCCTAAACATAAATACTGGGTTCAGCAAGGAACCCTAAACATAAGTACTGGGTTCAACAAGAGAAAATAATGTTGTCAGTCGTTAAAAGTGCAGGTGTTACATTTTATATTGACATTAAATATACCTACCATATAACCAAACCTAAAACAATTATACACCCCCATGAAAATAGGGACCGTCTTACTCACCTATAAGTGGATAGGGACTGTCCTCTTTGCCATATCTCACCCACATCTGGTAATCTTTGGGATCTGAATCCTGTGAGCAAAAACAACATGTTAGACATAGTTGGTCTGTATCTCCATTCACTACATATTTACCTCGTCTATGCATCACTGGCCAATAAATACACACAGGAATGGTGAAATTTGAGGATTTGTAAGATATACACAATAGTTCGTATTCAGAAGAAATTGTGTAATTTGATGTAATGTAAGATATCAACATTGAATATGATAAAAAGTCGCATACTTTCTTTTCTGAAAATAATGACATAGGATTGTGTTCAGCGGCCAAGAATAGAATGGTTTTATTTTACTCCTGGTGACACAAAAACAAACAGATAGTAACTTCCAATATTTCTAAAAAGTTCCTTTTCACTATTTTTATAAAGAAAATTCACAGCGATTAACATTTCCTTTCATCATAGTTTCCTTATGATATAAAACACAAGTTTTCTTATATCCTTATACAGGTGTGCATTCTTAACTTGAGTCACAAAGACAAACTAACTGCATTATAGCCTGAATACAATTTGCCCAAGAGTTGTAAACAATAAAAAATATCCAAATTTTGGCAACGGCTGTAAATTTGATTTCTCTTTATAACTGATAACACTATTTTTAATTACGATAAATGATAGGGCAAATTAAATCTGACGATGAGATAAATTATTTATCACTCTGAGATGATACTTGTACATATAACCATGATGTAATCGAATTCATTATCCCGTAATTGGTCATCAACGTCCAGATTAGAAGGCTATGTACCTGTACCACACTGATAACAGTTTCTGCACAAATAATAAAATTTGCATGACTTTTATCTTAGATGTCTGAAGTCACAAAGTAACTGTCCTCTATTCAGGTGTTACTGATTGACTAAGTCTTTGTCATATAGATTTAGTGGAGAAGGACAAAATTCTTAGCTGTCTTACTTGACATATACAAGTCAGATTCAGACTCATAAAAATAAATGTAGAAAATATATGAGGTCAACATCGTATTCCTCAGGTACTACTAACAAACAAGATCACAAAATTGGTTATAATTTTTCACCAGCAATGAATGATTTTTTGTATGTATTAACCATGAAGTGTCAAAAGTTATTTTTAAATCATTTTATTAATAAAATTAACAGGAAAACACTTAGGAAGTTTTGCTGAAAGCTGAAGGACTGGAGAAGGAAAGAAGACCTTATATAAGTGAAGACTTTTCATATAATTCGATTCTGGCATTCATTATCCTGAAAATGCATGAAATATTTGTCACTGGACATTAGGCAAACATCAATCAATCAATCATTATTTGCATGATTGGAGATAACCTGTGCCATCTAGACATTGCTCAATCATTGTACAGCAAACTCTTGTTAGTAAACCAAATTTTACAATACAGTACATTTTCAGTACCTGTCAATTATCATTCATTGTTATCTTTGTGATCTCATTTAAATATCTATCCAAGTAGATTTCTAATGTATAGTTATGTGAATTGCAGTAACTGAGTATAAGGGGGATTTGAAAAAAAAAAAATTGCTCAAGCATTTAAAAATTTTGAAATTTCAAGCATAAACAAATCATATAAAATTGTAGAAAGTGCTATGTTAAAATACAACACAACGTACACCTCTGGTCTTCAATGTAATCGGTGAAACATTTGACAGTGAGAAACCCATAGGGCCTCAATAATAATTGATCACTAACAATTGTGATGGACATCAGAGATATTTAAGGCAATACACAGATAAATTCAATGTTTGTTTGTATATATAAATAGCCGCTAACATTATGGGTCATATTTTGATGGAAAATTTGACAAAAAGCCAGAAAATCTCACAACCTGGTCACTTTATCAGTGAAACTTGATATGTGTATCCTTAAAACCAAAACATACCTAATGGGTCAGTGGACTGAATTTGTATTAACCATCTAGTCCAATAGTATTCAATACCTGATCACTGAACTCACACATGTTACATATTTTATATGTACAAGCTCAAGGAATATACGTTACAATATTTGCTTAAAAGACGTGTTTGTAAACATTAAAATTTTATAGTGAGGAAAATGAATGTCAATATGGTCTACTCACAGATAAATGGGACTGGGCCATGCATTCCTTAAGGACTTTTTGAGCATCCATATTAGTATCAACATCAACCATGCATGGCTAAAATAAGAAAACAACTTTAACAATCCAATGATTACATCAATTAAGCTATAAAAGTTAACAAGTCTAGCAAGCCATCTTTGTCAAAATTAGAAGTACCTGTGTTTTTAACAATGAAGATAGTTAACACTTACTTTTACCTTCCTGTTCAAAAGACTACGCATTGCAAACAAATTATTCCTACTGAAATATTCTCTCACATATCCACATGTTTGAATCCAAATTATGAAAATTAACAATAATATCTTACTTTAATATATTTTTAAAAGTGCAAAACAATACACATATTCCTAAATATCTGACTAATTAGCATTAATTAAGTTAAGACATGTCAATCTTCAGAGGTGTATAAATGCCTTAATTGCTAATTTCTCTGTGATGTTTTTCACCTGTACAGGTAAGATAATTAACTCACCTCACTTATTTCTCTACTGACAACTTTTAACTTGATCACCCTGGGTTGTTCTTTCATTCTTTCATTTTCAATTTGTCTAAAACAATAAAAATCCAAACATATCAATCTTTATTAGAGAGACCACTTCACACGTTTCAGGTGAAAAAAAAAGCATTTTTGTAAAAACAACCCATCAATTTATCTTTTATTCATTAATGTTTTATGTCAGAATAAAAGATTGTCACTTTTCATTATTTCAAACAAACAAGTATACAATATCATCATTTATAAAAACATATCACAGGATGTTAATTATCCATCATAGCTATTTGTTTGTACTTATATTTAGTATTACAAACCAAGAGGCTACAAGGAGTCAGTAATGCTCACCTGGTTTAGGCATTATGGCATAAAATGTACTGTAGAAACAATTTGCACAAAAACCCATGTAATATTAAGAAATATTAAAACAAGATTAGTGTTAAGGCAAGTCTTCTTTTTGAACTAACTGAATACAGTCAAATGATTTTCTTAGGAATTATCTGAAATGTTAAAATCCTTTAGGCATTAGGAAGTATCTAAAATGTTGAAATCCTTTGGGCATTAGGAATTATCTGAAATATTGAAATCCTTTGAGCATTAGGAATTATCTGAAATGTTGAAATCCTTTGGGCATTAGGAATTATCTGAAATGTTGAAATCCTTTGGGCATTAGGAATTATCTGAAATATTGAAATCCTTTGAGCAGTAGGAATTATCTGAAATGTTGAAATCCTTAGGCATCTTTTAAAGCATTCTCCATACATTATTCCTAATAATGTCAACTTAAGATCAATTAAGCCATGCAACTTTTAATTTCAGAAAACAACAAGAGGCTGTCAGATTGACAGCAAACCTGAATTTTCCTGCATCAAAACGATATTTGAAAATCTGGACCCCCAAACAGGATCAAGTAAACAAAATAAATGAATTTTTGTGGGGTTCAGAAGTGGAAAGGTCAAAATCAATCTAAGTATCACTTTTCGCTACTGTAGGTCAACAACTCAACAACAATAAAAGCTAAAATCGTGAAAATGGAACTTGACCCTCATTTAGTTACAGGAAACAACATATCTAAATTTGAAAAGATTTCGTCAAAGCGTTTTCAAGTTATTGCATGGACAACACTCTAAGTATAACTTTTCTACAACTCAGCAATGATAAAAAATTAAATCGTAAAAATCAAATTTGACCTTCATTTTGTCACAGGAAACAACATATCTAAATTTGAAAAGATTTTGTCAAAGCGTTTTCAAGTTTTTGCACGGACACTGTTTGGTAGCAAACCGCCTGACAGCCTGCCCACCGTAAATCACCATAACCGATTTTTCTTTCGGAAATCTGGTTAAAAAGGAAAATATTGTTTGTGATAAGGTTAAATAAAATGTATCGGATGTGATTGACATACAAGACCGTACTATTATCATGCCTATAAAGTTAAAAAAGGTTTGTAGTTTAAGAAGAGCTGATGATATTTAGAAAGTTTATATTTGACAACAGCCTTAAACTATGTAAGCAAATTAGACTGGTAAGGTGAGCTATTTTTATCTGTCATGCAGTACACCTGTTCAGGAAACTTGGGGTCAGGTGAGCTACTTTTATCTGTAATACAGTACACCTGTTGAGGAAACTCTTTATAGATGTTTTAATATCAGAAATGCATAAAGTACATAAAGTACATTTCCAAATTGTTAAGATTTGCTTTTAATCAACATGTAAACAGGCCCATGAGACAGATGGTTTGTTAAGATAAAAGTTAGTACTCTTCTTGAACCTGTGATGTGCTTACAACTGAGAAACGGCAGAACTTGATATATGAACTAAACTGGGGCGAATCCAGGGTTCGAGGAAAAGTGTTGTGTAAATGTCAGAAATTTTTAAACTAGTGGCGAGAGAAGTGATTTTATGGCCTGATCAGTGGCAGTGTACACTCTCTATGCTTTGTGCATTTACAGAATTAAAATTCTAAGAGAAAAATACATGTCATTTACAATTACAGAAATGAAAAGAAAAGAAAAGAATAAAATTCTCAATAAAAGAAAAACTGAAAAATTTTACAGAATGAAAATCATCTAAAAAAATTATGATAAAAGTCAAGGATTACAAAGTCTCATAATGTTTTTCTCCCATATGTTTATAGGTTATTGAGATTATTTTTTGTTTTTGTTTTACATAAGAAATCTAGATTCCCGGATGTTTTTAACAACATAAAAACAAGTTTATAAGCAGTGCCAGAAAAAGTTCAAACTTGTAATTCCCCCTACAAACAAAATAGATTTCATTCCTCGACATTTATTTCTCCCCATTATTGTTTTTGCTCCTTAGAGAAGTTCTGGTGGTTGACATTTATTTGGTTTAAATGTTTTGTTACCAAATTAAGTCCGGACTTTGACATTGCAAAGCATATTGAGGAACTATGACTCATTATTACATGTTGTGATTCTATATTTCCTTGTTTGTTTGTGTCCATAATCCTCCTATTTGGTTCACAATCATGATATATCAAGGTCTTCAGAGATATTTTTGAAGTTATTAAATTTCAATTTTAAATTCTCTTCCTTTATATGCTTCCATATTGAAAAGTTTTTAATTTGTTTTTTTAATGTTAAAAAAGTTTACATACATTAAAAAAAATAAATTGTAACACTCTGTCTTTCCATGATAATCATGTTTTTTTTCTAAATAACAGCAACTCCCTATACAAGTTTGTAGGCAACACCTCTCTTGGCATCTGCTGCCCATTTATACACAGATCAAATTAAACTGATATGTATAACAAACTTACTCAGTTAGTTTGGTCAGCCATTGCTGTTTCAGATCAAGTGTTTTGAATGTGGCAACACAATTACACAAAGGCCATCCCATAACAAACGACAGCTCTGTTGACCTTGTCAATTCTGTAACATCATTTATGCATTCCGATAACCAGATTTCACAGACTCTTACTCTCTGCTTCAACTTAAATGTTGTTGATGTTCTAAAAATCAGAAAAAACATTTAATTGGAAAACTGAAAAATTTCAAGATATTGGATATTGTATAGAATTTTTCAAGGATTTTCTAAGGTAATCTTTTTTTTTTTGGTACCCAGTAAATTTCTGGTGAGGGATGTGGTCATTGAAAAAAAGGGGTACACTAAGACGATGTGTTTGGGTCATTTTGTAAGATTTTCATTGGTCATGGGATGTCAATTTACATGACAAATGAGATGCCAGAAAATTGGTACTTACAGAAAGATTTTGTCAGAACGGTAGAAAATTGGTAGGATCTGTCAAAATTGTAGAAAATCTATACTGTTGTTTATATTATTTTAAGCACATACAAATGATCTCATGACTTATACCAGTATTATGGTTTATAACCTTCAATATGTTACTACATTAGCTGAGTACCCACACCCATTTAAAAATGCCTGGAACAAGACTCGACCATGTCATATACATGTTATCTGCCATTCTGAAGAGAACACAGTTGACATCAAAACAGAAAGTGAGTCTGTATGATAACATCATGAGGTTTATCTATAAGATAGGCTATAACCAATAATATTGACAAAACAGAGGGTACATTGATAATAGAGGCAGGCACGGGTACAGACTTCTATCTCTACAGGTCAAACTTTCATAAGTTAACCAATTTAATTGTTTAGATATTATTTACTCATAGATGACACAAATTTAAGACAGATCTTAGCAAGTACTTTACTATTCATTAAAAGCTTTTTTTCATTTGATTAAATGGTAAGTCTCCTCTGTCTATAGTGTTTTTGTTTCCAGTTGGTCTGTAAGATTGTTGGTTGCTTCATATTCAGTATCAAATATAACATAATGACAATAGACTTTGAGCATTTACAGATCAAACAATAGATACAATATGATCTTTATTCAAAATGAATTTGATGGATAAAGGCAAGTAAGTTTTTGTAAAGTGGTTGAACTTTGTAGGAGGGACATTAATCAAACTTAAGTTTTGTGGCAGACATAAAACCAAAGTTGTTCAATTAGTTGCTGCATATTAATTAACATGATGACAGACAATATCTTATGACATTTTTCCATGTTCCATTTTGAGTTTTTGTCATATCTACTGAATTCTAAAGGATTGTCTGTCATTCCAATTGTCCAAACAACAAATGAAAATACTTTACAGCAATAGTTCAGAGGTTGTAATTATAGTTACACCATTTTGGTGGCTCATGTTAAAATTATTACTCAAAATGTATTAGATTCTGAAAAAGTGAATTTATTCACAATTTGTTAACATAGGGTGATTCTGAGCTTGCCTTGTGAATGAATATTTGTCCAGCTTTGAAGACAACATTGTTACATATTCATGTCTATTTGGGTAACTTATGTTATTCTGAGGTGTCTCCTATGCATTCACCTCACATCTCTGTAAATGTAAAAATATCAAGATGCTGATACTCACTTTTGTTTAGCTACCAGTAAAAGGTCATTAAATAGGAACATATATCTATCTTGTATCTGTACACCCTGAAATATTATCAAATTTGGATTAAGTAAGAGTATATCTTCTAGTTTTTTGTCAGGAGATCCCAATACACTTTATATGAGCTGTGTCAGATAGAAATCGACCTTATGCAAATGAATATCAATACATCTGTTAATCTATTTCTGTTTCAAAAAATCTCCACAGAAAGTCTGTAACTGTTTGAAAATTGAATTGTTATAAGAGCCCCACAAAACAGACCAAAATTCATCTTTAATTTCGTATTTGAATGTTCCAAAATTAACCAAAGTCTTAAATAGGTTGATTTCTATCCGACGCAGCTCATATCAAGAAAAAACTATCTAAATCTTCTTATTGTGAAGAAAAGTTTAGTACACTAGATCACCATATTTAATGCTCATGAAAGGTAACAAATTTCTTCAAAACTTTAGTATCACACAAATTTACTATAAAAAAGAAGGGAACCTAGATTTCTCAGCAATTAAATAAGTAAGAAAATAAATTTCTAATGAGAAGTTTGCTGTCTATAAAGTTTTCAGTTTTATACTTTTTTTCTTTTATATTTTGCAAATAAAGCAGAATTTTTTTTATCACTATTTCGATCTGAGAATTCTTTTTTGAAATAATTGAATTGAATCTTTTAAGGACCAAAATATAAACGCAGTTTTGACCTTTGTTAATAAGAATGCCATATCATATACCCCATGAGAATAATCTATTTGGTTATATGACATTATTAGAAAATTATTTGATACCAAAATTGTCTATGATTTATCTATCGTTTAAATTGATCATTCAACTTTAATTCCCATAATCTGCAATTTAAACAAAAACAAGAAAAAAAACAACAAATATGAAAATCAATCACTGGAAATGATGGATGTAGTACAATGAACCATTCAGGAAAATATATGCGTCTCACATCATCCGTGTAAGCACAGAATTATAATATTGTAATCTTAACTCTGTCGGTTTGTTGGGATGACTATCGAAATGACCAATGGGACAAAAGTTCGAGAATCATCGGACACCCATAAATCATGGTTAATTAGTTCAAAAGCCGAGTTCTTTATTCAGAGGCATTCATTTATAAACAGTTTTTCTATAGATTATAACTGATATGACTGCTTTAAGATAATTAACACATCTTTTCATGATACATATCACATAAGATAAATTATGGACATATTTTTAGGCGTACCTGTGGTTTTCAACCTAGGAGTTTGGTTTTTATTTTTTTGGTTTCAAGGTGTGTTTCACAACTTGTTCTTTGTTTTACTATGCAAATGACAATAAAATGTTTTTGACATATTGTTTTATCTGGTTTGTCCTAATGAAGATGAATTTCTGTAATAAAACTTTTTGAGTTGGTATTTGACCTTACGATCCTGTCATGTTTGTGTTGTGACATTATAACACTTTAAGGTCATATAATCTTTGGTAGTCTTGCAAGTATTCAGTCACTACTTTCTGTTTTTGGTTTTATACTGGCTATTGTTATTCATCAAATTCATTTATGAACTTTATTTAGAAAAAACTTACTGTAGCAAACTGTACTTGACCTTCCATCACAAACTGACGATTTTCTTGATTTGGGAGTCTGGATGCAGGACTCGCCAAATCTGTTTCTTTTTTTCCCATGCTTGCACTAGCCCTGAAAACAAAAAAAAGTTTATAACTTACATAACATTACCCTTATTTGAGAAGTTATCAATTGTGTCATTGGAACTGTTACAGTGTTGTGTTTAGTTGTCCTTATTCCAGGTGTTTAGTTAACATTATCCTAGTAAGTGTTTAGTTGCTGTTATAAATGATAGGCATTTTGTAAACATTATCCCAGGTGTTTACTTGTCATTATCACAAGTACCGTGGCTGCTAATGCAAAATAAGAAAATTTATCACACTTAAAACATTAATTCAATTACATTTAGGACAAAGTTTTGAAAGTATACAGCTAATGGTTCAAAATTTATGGCTAAACTTGTACTCAGAACCTCATTTCATAGAAATAAAACTGGTTTGGATGCAAATGCATTTTGTGTTGTCATGTTTAATGTGAAATTTTCCCTTGGACAGAAAACTGTTTCAAAACATTGTGTCATTATATTCAAAGAATCATTTATATCAGCGCTCCTATGATAAATTAAATTGATTGGTTGCATGGAGTTTAATTTTAATTTGTTTCAGAAAACAACATGGAACATGCAGGTCAAGATTTAGGGAATGTTGAAAAGGAGGATTTTATCTAAATGTGAACAACCCAGGCCAATACACTTTTATTTAGTAACGGGTTGATTAATTGATTGGGATGTTTGCATAATGTGCAGTGGCAAATAATTCATGCATATTTAGAATGAGAACAAATAAACAAGCAATGAAAAATGTAAGTTTTGCAATGTGAATTTGACTGCCATTGGAAAATGAGGAGTATCCATGTTGGATAGAAGAAGAAAAATTAAAATAAGACATTTAGCTCAGCTCAGATAACTGATATGCTGTTTAAATGTATATCATACATTTCTTTTGTTTTTGAAAAGACAAAAAAAAAAGCATCAAAAAACTTTCACCACACACTACTTAAACAGGAAAAGATGCATTTCTATCCATAAATTGTTGCTTAAAATGGACTAGGAAACCTTGGAAATTTGCATTGATGCATCATGTGGTCTGGGATATTTATAATAAAACAAAACATGAATGTCACATGGAATGACAGATCAATTTGATGGAGTGAAATCTTGTACTTCTAACGATTCTAAAACAAACCAGAATGTTGACCCATGTTTGTTTCTTACTTTTGTAAATTTCATTCATTAAATTCTTTTACAACTGAGTAGGAGTAATCCTACAATTGCTGTGAATTTCATTCATAAGACGTTCCCCACTCTGTTAGAAAAATATTTTTGAATGGATAATCACTTTAAAAGCATGTTATGTAAATAATGTAATTCCTTTGTTATTAGCCAAAAATGTAGGACAAATATCTAGACAATTTTAATGGAATAATATACTTAGAAAAATTAAATGAATACATTTTCAATGACAGAAAAAAAATATCACTAGGGTATGAAACAACTGTTATAAATTGTACTTGTTTTAAATGAGTAAACACATAAGGAGGTTACATGGAAGGCCTCCAAAAATTTTAAAAGACAAGATAGCCAGCGTAGAATTTTCCTAGCAGGTAAACAAGAAAGAAGATGACCCTAATTAAACCATTATCACAATATTTTTTAAAAGAATAAAATGAACTTCAAAGACACAAATCGTTTTGGTTCCAGAATGACGGCTATCTGAAATAAAATCCTGTAATTATCCTCACTTTAATTTTATAATTAGAAAAAATTAATCTATTTTTGGTTTTAAATCTCATATTTGTTTAACCTTCTTATAAAAGATTAAATAAATATGGTCAAAATTGCAAGATAGCAGTAGAAGCTCTGCATTTCAGTATATAACTGATTGTACAGTTAACGTCAACAATAAATCCGATTTCAATGTTAGTTGCCTGGAAAAAAAATTCGTAAGGGTTCCGCGGAACCCAGTGTCTCGCCTACTTTTGCTGTTAATCGCAGGCTCAACAAAAATGAGGAAAAAAAAATTTAAAATATTCCTCTCTATACTATCTTTTGATTGTAAGTAGCTTCTGTCCAAGTTTGGTAAAAATCCAGGATAATTTATGAATCTTATAAATGTTTTAAAAACTTAAACTGCAGACTGTATGTAATGTTGACTGGAAGAAAAACTAAGTCCATTTATAAGTAAAATACGGAAAAAATGGAACAAAATTTTATCAAAATTTCCTTCTAGATACTAGCTTTTGATCATAAACAAGCTTCTGTCCAAGTGTGGTACAAATCCAGGATAGTTTAAGAAAGTTATTAAAATTTTAAAAACTTTAACCACAGAGTGAATGTAATGTTAACTGGCAGAAAAACTAAGTCCATTTATAAGTAAAATACGGAAAAAAAGGAATTTTTTTTTTACAAAATTTACTTCTGGATACTATCTTATGATCATAAACAAGCTTCTTTCCAAGTGTGGTACAAATCCAGGATAGTTTAAAAAAGTTATTAAAATTTCAAAAACTTTAACCACAGAGTGAATGTAATGTTCCTGGCAGAAAAACTAAGTCCATTTATAAGTAAAATACGGAAATAATGGAATTTTTTTTTTACAAAATTTGCTTTTGAATATAATCTTATGATCATAAACAAGCTTCTGTCCAAGTTTGGTAGAAATCCAGGATAGTTTAAGAAAGTTATTAAAATTTCAAAAACTTTAACCACAGAGTGAATGTAATGTTTCCTGGCAGAAAAACTAAGTCCATTTATCAGTAAAATACGGAAAAAATGGATTTTTTTTTTTACAAAATTTACTTTTGAATATAATCTTATGATCATAAACAAGCTTCTGTCCAAGTTTGGTAGAAATCCAGGATAGTTTAAGAAAGTTATTAAAATTTCAAAAACTTTAACCACAGAGTGAATATTTGTGGACGCCGCCGCCGACGACGACGCCGACGGAATGTAGGATCGCTATGTCTCGCTTTTTCGACAAAAGTCGAAGGCTCGACAAAAATCAGTATTCTTATACATATTTTTGCTTCATTTATTAGCATCCTCCAACAAAAAAAAAACATCTTCAAAGGACAGAAAGCAGCACCTAGAGGGAGATAAAAAATAACATTCTTACAATGAGTAAGCCAGGTTGTTTTTTACCAGGTTTGTGTTGAAAGGCCTTATTATTCAAGGTAGAAAGGCACTGTTCAACTAAAAAACTATTTTTGGTTCATAGTGAGATCATGATGTTCTTTTACATTCTTTAGTTCATACATCACCCCTTTGTGACAACCAACAAAATAATTAGAAAACAGGTAAATATTAAGTTACAGAACAGGAAGAGTTAAATTCTATATTTCAGGTTTTTGTGCATAGTATTGTAATGTTTTAATTTTGATTGTGGAAGAACCAACAATCTTCTGCTGGCTCTTAAACCAAAAGACTCAACCACATAGTGTAAAAGGTATTCATTTTCGCTGAGATATAATTTTCAGATTTTTTGGACCAAACCTGTTCCCAAGGTTTTATTTTAACATTTTTCTAGACTCTAATTCTGATATTCCTGAAAATCAAATTTATGGGAAAAAAATGTTTGCGATTGCATCTAGCTTAATCATAAAATAAGCAAAAATAAACTCCCCCTGAAAATTTCTCAAATAAACAGTATTAGTTGACAAAAAGCACCTTCTCATGTTTTAGCAAACAACCAGAATGAAACTATAACACATAAGTTAGTGGTGATAATCTAAGTCTTCTGTACTGGTAGATATCAACTACATTCACTGGACATCTGGTTCTATATTTGGTGATTTAATTTGACCTTGTAACCTTTATCAATAACTGGTCATATATGAGGACCTTTCTACTAAAATAATCTGTACTTCTTTTCTGTAGGGTTAGTACATCATTTAAAAGATAATATTTGCAACAAGTTTTAAATAAACTTCAAAATAATAGGTATAAGTGACTTTTACACTATAAATGAACACTAATAAGATTTAATAAAAAATAAAATTATTACATCCTGCTTAATTCATCATCTTATGTGATAACTGAAATAAATCTAGCTACTGAGAAATAAATTCCATTTTTTGGAAGACCTATAAAAAGTGTGCAAATCAAAGCACTAGCCAGTAGTACAATAACAGTTCTCATTGACAAACTGATATCTTTTACTCAAACTAAACACTATGTTGCTATTATTTTTTATACATCGTCCTTCATAACCATGATGACCAGTAAAAAGTTTAGTAAAATACCGTTATGATCAGTATTTGTTTAAAAATTTGGTAGCAACCCAGTAGTTTGAATATTAGATAACATCTATATCTAAGAAAAAATTCTCACAATTGAGGAAAAATACTTTTTAGGTAATTAAATCAGAAGAAAATAACAATTTAAAAGTTTAGGATTTTATTATTTTTTTTCTCAATCAGAAGAAAAAACAATTTAAAAAGAAAAATGTTATATATTTATTGCCACTTATCAGCTTTCCAAATCTGAAATAACTGGATGCCCACTAACCTTTGCTCATTTAATACCTTATAACTGGTACAAAATTTTACTGCAAAATTATATAATGGACAAAATACTATAAAAATCAGTAATGGACTGACAACCTTATTTTTTTACTCCTTTCCTCTTGTAACATTTGTGACTGGCAGAGAAAAAATATATGACATTTGACATATATGGTGATAGTACCCACTGAATATATTAAGAAAAAAAACAGATTAACAAATCAGATATGGATCTTTAACTTACTTATTTATTAACGTGGCAATTATGCTTTTGAAGACATGTTAGTTCAATTTTCAGAAAATAAATTCAACATAATAACAATATTTACGACTGGTGAAAGCTCTTTATATAACTTTAAGAACAGTTATGTCAAAATGAACATTAATTCTTTTCTATGACTCTAAGAGACTTGAATTGGACCTTCTAAAAGAAGTAACTGAAATTTACTCAATAATTTTATAAAATATGCAAATCAGATTTGTAAAGAAAGTGCTTTGTAGAAATATAGTCAATTCAAACAAACAGCAACATTCTATTTTGACTGTTCTCATTAAACTGATTACTGACGTAATTAAAACAAAGCATAAAGGTAAAACAATGGGGTTGACTGAAAAACTTAACTCACACGTAAGATGTCATTCTGATGTCTGACCTGGGGTTGATGTCAGATCTTCTATAGTCGGTTAAATCTAATCTCAAAAACTTTTTAGGATTTGATATAAATATAAGAAGATGTGGTATGCTTGCCTATGAGATGTGGATGTAAACAACTTAATGTATAATAAAGACACCTGATCATTGTTGGGTAGCTGTCTAATTTTCATATACCCCACATCTCCCTTTATTCATAATTCTTTCAATTTTTATGAATGAGTAACTTATAATATGTCTACATCTGTTGAAATATTATTTAACTTTTAACAATGGAAATCTTTGGTATAAATCAACCTTGTAATAATGTTTAAATGAACTAATCAAATTATAGATGAAGACCAAGTTATGTTCATTTGACAGCAATTAAATCAAATTATAGTAAATATTAATTTACCTCAATAAAAAAGCACCAAGACAATAGCATAGAAATATAAGTAGTCCAAAGGTCTTATTATCAAATGGAATAAATTGAAATTTAACATATGATCTTGATCACTGACTGATATTTACAAACCTGACGGGACTATATTTGAAGTTCCTTGCATTATGTCAAATATTATTCCAATATTTAATGAACTAATTTTTCTTTATTTGCGTTTCAAATGTACTTCTTTATAAAATGAACTTATACTTGTGTATTTGACTTGTAAATGTATTGGAAATCTTATTTGCAGAGTAATTTCACATAAACATCCAACATAAATTGTTTTTGTTGTCATTTTATAGAGTACATTACAATAGTACCGTACTTCGTCTGATCTTTAGAAATGACCATCTATATTAGTATCAGGACTTAATTTGACTTGAATTTTGGTCCAGAATATTTTCTGTTAATTCATAGGTACAATATTCTAGTATATTGTAAACAAATAACTCTTTATGAGATGTTATATATGGTGGCTTACGACAGATCCCTTATAAAGAGAAAACAGTGATTACAGGTCCAGTGGCAAATATTTCAAATGAATTAAGGACATGAAAGTACATATAAATGCATCTATAGATAGGGTCAAAAACAGTTTATAACAGGGCATCAACATAGAAATTATATGATCCCTCCACTAAAGTGGCTCCACAGCATGACCCGTACTTTCAGATGCAAGAAGTCCATGTAGCTTTATCTATATCCTATCAAACCACAGTGGTCAAGAAAAGAATGAAAATATTGTTTTAACCAAATCAAGACATTTTTTTGCCAGAAATATTTCAAAAGCTGCTTTTATCAACATCATGAACATGTATCTAAAAGAAAGGTTCCATCAAAATAAGCTAATATTTTGTAAATTTTCTTGTATCTTAAGGAAATGTTTCACATTCTTAATTATATATTTTGATATCAGAGGTAATTTTTGCACTTAACTATTGATTGATTATGGGGGTGCATAGCACTCTAAGAATAAAGAGCCAAAAAAATAGTAATTTTTTTACATAATGCACTCTCCACAATGGCCTTGAATCAAAACTTTAAAAACTGAACTTAAACAGGAAAGGAAACAGTGATAATACGAAGTTAACTATTGTTGATCAAAACACGTTTCTGAACTTTAAAACATGTCAACTTATTTGTTGACTTTTCGTATGAACCTCTTTAAGAAAGTTCATTATTGTTTATTATATTTAAGAAATGCAGGTTTTTGAACTTTTAAATTCAAACAAAACCCATCAACCTACTTCAGTATACACATACATGTAGGTTTGAACATGGTTGCTAAGAGAAATCCAAAATATTAAATAAAAAATATTATTTGTTATTATTTTTACAACACTACGTCAACAACATATGGAAATAGTTTATGTAATGATGCACTAATTTGTCATAAAGACATATTTTGTTATTAAACCTTTGTCATTGCCATTTCCTTATACAATATAAACATGCCATAAATAAGTCTGTTTGAGAAATCATAATAAAATTATTGCTACGTCTTCCTTGTCAATTTATAAGCTTTAAAATATTAGGTCATGGAATATTTACAATTATTAAGATAACATGATAAGAAGAAAGTTGATATTACAGCCAAATATAGATCATAAAAAATCCGATGAACATTGATATCTCTCTTTTATAAAATTATTGCTTAAAAGGACAAATTCTTCAGGCTTAGAATTAACAAAAGAATTTGGTTGAATTTAGGCAGCTTAATTTCACTCCTTTTTTTATGTAAGTAAGAGGTATTCTAATATATAGATGCTCCTATTGACAGAAAGGGGAGATAATTTAATTGTTTCTTAATAAAGTGTATGAATAAAAACATATGTTTGATATATATAATCTATCTGCAACTCAAAAGCATAAAAAGCATTTATTAATCTTTTATTTTTATATCACACAGTACTTTTCCTCCCAATATATGCCTTTGAGATAGCGTCAACTAGTAATGAGTTCTACATAAATGTAATATTGTGTGGGATTGCAGCTTCATCTGTATATACCAATGACTAGATAAAAGTCACTATGGATGTGGTTTTAGGAACAACAAACCATAGTGACTGGAATTTGAAAGCAAATGAGACATACCATAATGAGACGATGTAATTACACTGATACATAGTTATGTTAAACAAAGTAGATTAAGGATCCAGATGTTCAAATGAGATTGACTATATATGGTAATCCTAGGGATAGATACGTTTATCTCTACACAGCTGAAGATGTGTAAAATTCCACAGCTTTGTAGCAACTTTGCTTGAACACCCACCATTGGAAAGTTAGAGATTAATCTTTACGAGTATTTCATTAAGTTTGGGAAGATCATCACAGGTTTAAAGGTTTTCTTTACATCTTTTTGATGAGGAGATTTACAGATTACAAGTAAACGATGAAAGTGTGTTTACAAACTTTGGTTATTATGATAATATTTTGTGTAAACTTTTACCAGCGATTTTCTTTGAACATCTTGTAATGGCTATTTCATTATGATGGATGTATCCCCACTTATACTGTGATAAACTTTCTGTTCTTACAGAGCGCAATGACTTAAATGCATTTATGTTTATTATTATTAAGAATCTTCCCTAGTTTAACTTATTTAACTTCAGTTTTTATGAAATGTACTTACATACTTGTTTATAGTTAAACAAATTTTTGCCATAATTGAAATGTTTTAAAATTTTATGTATGAGCTTACAATACATTAACTGGTATATACACATACAATTTTGACAATTTTACTGTAAGTTTTAATAAGTCTACTTATGACTTAAATTAAACATAAACACTATTGGGAAGATCTGGATACTTTATCAAGAGGAGACTAAACTCCAATGTCATATGAAAAGTTAAATAGGAGCCATAACTTGCAAAAATCTTATCCTAGCACAGAACACTAGAACATTTGATGGCATGGTTATGTTTGTTGAAGTACAATAGATCTTTTTGATTTTACTAAAATCTTTAAGAGGGTGGTAAAGGGTTATTTTCTTGCAACGTGTTTTGCCATTTTTATTTCACATGCAGCCGTGAAAAAGGTTTGTTATTCACATTTATTTCATGAAATCGGTAAAAAGATCAACGTGCAAGAAATTTTTAATTGTTCATTCATCGTGAAATTGCAATTTTATTTCGCGTTTATCCGTGCAGATACCCCCCAATTACACCCCTCCTTTAAGAGTCAAAGGATAAGTTTCCTACACATTCAACATCAGACTTTTGCTAAATATGGATCATTTTACAATTATCTGGTGCTGTGAGATTAGATAGGTTTTGTTCACCAGTAGGCCCTTAGATTTACAAAGAATTAACAGAAGGCCTTATATATCAGGCCACATTACCTTCAATCTTTGAAGACTCAAAGTTATCTACCCTTACTTACCACAAATTACTGGAACTTTTAGATTTGCCAATACTTTTAAGTAGAATAGCTCCTGGTGCTGACTTTCTTCTTTTCGCTGAAGAAGTTCGTTTCTGAAAGTAAAAAATAAATATTCTTCTTAGAACTCTATTGACATTGATACTGATCTTGATACAATTCATTTTCATAAATTTCTGATTTCATTATCTTCAACTTGAACATGTGCATGCAAATTTACAAAATTTCAAACTTTTAACCTGTTCCACTTCATTCTAAATCTTAAAATATGAATATTTGTAATGTCTAAAACATCATGAATTATGTTGTCTTAAAATAAGATTAAGGTTACCATAATCCATCTTATTATCATCACTTTCTTTTGTAAGCTAAATAAATCTCAACAATTATGAAACCTTCCATTGAAATATTTCAACTTAAATATGTATAAACACCTACTGTTTAACTGTTCAACTTCCTTTCTATCAAAATCTTCTTTAACAATCTATAGTTTTAAAATCTTTTCAACAATTTTTTTGTTTTTTTCAATACACCACCGCCTCCTAGTTTTTAATCTCCTATTTCAGCGGAATGCCTTTGGTTAGGAGCCTATTGAAACATTTATTAGTTCATGCTCCATATCTTTACTTTTTGTTTATGTATCTTAAAGATGTGACAAACACAAAAGCGTAGATCAGAGGTATTCTTTACAAATTTTAATGTTGCATTGTTTTATTTAGCAACACTAAGATGACTATAAATAAAATCCAAAGTTTAAAATTTCAAAGTTTTTGTCCAAATATGATTATATAACATGTTTGGAATTTCCTTATTGTTGAAAAGACAAGAAGGTATATTTCCATTTATAGCCCTTTGTCAACAGGAACTACAAACCTTCACTACAGGGAAAACAAAAACGTGAATTATTGAAAAATTTAAGAATAAATGACATTGATAGAAAAATATATATTATAGTGATACTCATACCAGGAACATTGTACTTTTTATTGTTCTTTTTTATAAATCATCACACTATACCTTGAATTTACTGACGAAAGTTGATAATCCTAATTTATCCTTGGCCAACAGATATGATGCAAGATCTTCTTGATTTTGAATTGTTAAACCCATTTTTCATATCAGTACAATCAAAACATCTTTCCATATCTTAAAACTGCAAGAAGTCTAACCCTCAGCTTCTTACTGCTCACATAATGAACATTTCTAGTACAAATGTAGTGACGTCAAGATTTTGGTGTGTCATGAGTTTTTACTTATTTTTAAGAATTCAAATATCTCTGCAACCATTCAAATACTAGGAACATCGTTTATCACATCTTTCTCATATTTAATGTATGTGTACAAGATCAACACTTTAATCCAACATATTTTTTTTTCTTAAATCAACACTTTCATGCCATGATTTCTTACAGTTATATCTACACTTTAAGAAACATACATTTGAAGGTCATAAGACAATGACGTAAATAGATGCAAAGACACAGTGATTGTGATAACAACATTTTTGTGGTTGGTTAAAAATATTAGAAAGACTTGAACAACATGTTTCTATCATGTTTTTTGTAGATGATTAACAATGGACCACCCTCTTGTGCTAGTTTTTTTCTGATGTGGTGTAAAAACCTCAGTTTATATAGCCGTAATACTTATGAAGATGCTGTAATAAACAAATGATTTATAGTATTTCTGATAATTTGAAAACAAATGCATGTTACTACATCTTATTTTTTTGTGTTGTTGGGTTGCTGTCTAAGTAAAGTTATCTCCTGTAATTCGTATTTAAACATGTGTAAGTAATGCTTGAATCAGATTAATTGTTGGTTGCTTTATGTCCAGTGGCAAATATTTCATACATGTTTAGGATGAGCATTTGAATCAGTATCATATGTTTATAATGCTATCAGTGGACCAAAACAGTTGTAAAAGGACTTGTCAGTTTTGAGGGTACAGCACAGAAATTAATGTTGAATCTCTCTTACAAGACCTTAAGAATTTGGCTCTTTTATTTAAAGAATTTGTATGGTTTTGATGCTTCAAAACTTTTTGCCTTGGATGTACCAGATAACTGATGAAGGTTATTCTGGAAACACTGTTGTGTGTACAAAATTTGATAACATCTTAATGTTTCTACATTTCATATGACAAGTGACTGTGCCCACAGAAAAATTATGTACGGTAGTTGCCCCTTATCTAAATTTTGAAAAAATGCATTCTTTATTCAGTAAAAAAATACCAAGATTGCAACCAAAAACAAAAAGTCAAAGACAACTTCATAAATGGCCAAATGAAAAAGACTAAAAGACAAACCACATTTGACAAAACACACAACATAGAAAACTTATGTTTGAGCAACATGAACTCCATCGAAAACTTGGGATGACCTTCTGTGAAAGGTAAAACGGTTCCTACTCCACCAGTGGGCCCCATGGTCAGTTATCATTATGATATCCTATTTCTATATTCATCCTAAAATGACAGTTATGTCTGATGGGTTGGTTATTGGGGTCATTCAATGATATAAACATATGTAACATAAAACAGTTATAAAATAGGCCATATACTGCCTATAATGTCACTAAGAAATAAGGTAGAAAAGCTTGCAATGAACTGGTGAAACTAAGCATTCTATGCATGTATTAAGACTATTGAGTGTATTGGTCATTTTACTATGATCAAGAGAGCTTTAACTGTTCACTAATTGATACTACTTTGATATTCATTGACAGCCTTAAGCATTGACAAAAGTGCTACTTCCTCATATATTCAGACACCCACTTCAAATATTCTAGAAGGTATATACTTAGTAGTAACCAAAAAAATACATGCTCAACTAACGATGCTATTGTAAACATCATTGGTGAATTTCAAAATTACAAGAAAAATAGATTAAAATTTTGATTCCTGGTGAGCTGAAGCTGAATGTCCTGAATATCACTCAAACAACTTTTATTGCTGCACTTAAATCAGAAAACTTGAACCTTCTTGTCAGACAAGACTTTTATGACTAGATGTATAATATGGGCCATCTTAAATTGTAAAGTCTGTCTTGAACTATAGTAGGTTATAAAATGCAGATTCTGTCCTTATTGTCCAACATATTTCACTTTAAGAAATGCAGTCAACAAGTAATTAATAGGAAGTCCATAATGATCCATCAAAACCATGTTTTTGAAAGAAAAATATAAACAAAAGCTATGACACTCACCTTAGCACGTTAATATCTCGGCGTTATATCGGTTAACACATTCTATGTCCAAAAAAATGAGCAAATTTTCACTGTCGCATATTTAAAGTTTGCGCAATTTGTCTTTATACTGTCATACATTTCTAAAACCATCCAAACAATATATGAATATTGGTTTGACCTCTTGACTAAAACTGCCAAGACAATAATGTTTACAATGTAACAATAACATTTAAAATAGATATAGCATTTAACAAAAGTTCAATGTTAAATTGTAGATACCATGCAAAGATTGATAAATATCGGTATGTCTTAAATCTAAAATAAGCACTTAATCATAATGTACAGGGTAATATGAAGTGTCAATTTTATCCTTCGGAATTCAATACGTTTCACTAGAAGATGTCAACATAAGATTTGTCCATGACAATAAGAAGGCTTTACACATTTACTCCTTGAATAAGTCTATATAACTATATAACTTAAACAAAATGAAGCCTAAGTTGCATTTATTCATAACGTCATTTGCTCCAGACTTGAAAGAAGCTTGCCAACTTTTCACAGGACTTGTCAATTGCTTCCTTTATTAGCATGCTGCCTGACTGAACTCCATTCTATTACAATAATCAACTGCATTTCCTTAGGTCACATATTAAATTTAATCCAACAAATAATAGTTTTGAATTCAAATAGATTAAAATTTCAATACTTCTTGGTTTAAACCTCATATTAGGTATAATAAACAAAACAAAACAATAATTCAACAATCCAAACTAATTGCCTTACGGTAGCACTTTCAAGTTTTAAATTTTGATTGATTAATTTAAGCTATTGGAATTTTAATTGAATGAATTAACACAATATTATTGCAAGTATTTCCGCCTTTTAGCAACTGAAAAGTATGCGAACATTGAACGTAAGAGAAACATTCTTTCTGATAGTATTCATAAGTATATTAGAAATTCAAGCCTTAAGGTGAAAAGTGATGATATAAACCATAAAATGGCCATATGTATTCTATAACGAGAACCTTCTTACAATAACCAAGTAAGATTATATAAATTAAGGAATATGTCAGTTATAAAGTCAACAACAAAAAGAATTTGCATGCAATGTGGTGTAAAGAATACACAACTCATTTATAAGCAATAATGAAAAATGCCATCCTCAGTGGGTATAATAAAAATTCAAAGTATCATCAAACAATTACATCTGAAATCACTTATCTGGTACAACTCAATCTTATAAAGTTCCTGATGAAATTCCAAATCATTCCTTTCTACATCAGTAGAGAAACACTTGACAAAAAATACATATCTACTAGGTATAATAACAATTTAAAGTATTGTCAATCAGGAAGTGACTGCCTGGAAGATCTGAAAGTTGCTAACACTTTGACTTATCATTATAAAAGTCCAGACCAAATATCAAAAATCATTCCTCAGTACAGGAACTGAGTAATATGAAACAGTAACACAATTCAAAGTATTATCCAACAGAAATTGACTTCCTGGCAGACATGAAAGTGTTGCCTCCCATATAAATTCCTATGCTAATATTAATTACAGTACTTTACAATAAATAATCAAAAGTATTTTCCTTACCACAAAAAAAATGCACTGTTTCAGATCTGCTAGAGGCAACTTGACTAAATAAGTATATTCCAAACCATACCATAAACAGAAACTATCAAAACAACTAAAACCAAACATCTATAAATGTCTGTCACAGTCAAACTAGTACAAAATCTACTATTTATTACTATAAATATCTTATTGATGAAGGACTAAATCGGATCAAAACATTAATTTTCCTGAGGACCATTCAATACTATACTACTGGATAATAGTAAACAAATGAATTGAAGAATAATTCTAGAGTGCAAACTATCAAAGGAAGAGTGAAATCATACTAAACTCAGGTGCCATGCAATGATGGAAAATCAAGAAATTTTGTCTTAAATCTTCATTATTTGTTACCCAGTAAAAAAATGACAAACAAAATGACAATACAATATACAGAAACATGATATCATTTCTTTATTGATGTATTCATATAAGAGAAAATCTAAGTTTGACACATTCACAACAACTTATATTCTCATTATTTTTCTACTCACAAAAATTATATAAACTTTATAATCATAATAATATCTTCAAACTTGTGTGTTCTTTTGACGATTATAATTACTGTAATTTACTGAAGGTTCTTAAAAACAATTAGATAATGCTTGCTCCACACACTGGAGCACTTTTTGAAATAAAAAAAAAATCTTTTAGGAAATGTCAAGTTAAAGTGCTTGTTAATTGCCCATATAAACAAACTGTACCATTAAAGTGAAAGCACATGAATGTTAATTTTTTTGGCATTTAAAATTTATGATTATTATTTGGTTCTTGAAGCTCATACACTGTAACTGACAACCTGCTTGCATAAATACAAGCACAATTAGGTTTTAACCATGTGCCTAAATCATTTTGCATTATAGACTCTTTCTTTTTTGATTGAACACAACAGGAGTAAAATGTGGGAAAAGAAACCAAAGGGCCAAGGAAAAATCATAAGTGAAAGAAAAAAGACAACACCAGGACCAAAAAGAAAATTGACAAAGAGGCAAAAAGACACACAAGTCCACAAAAAAATTTGCAGAAAAACAAAAGATTGAGCAACACCAATGTCACCAATAAATAAGAATTGAATTTGCAATCCCCACTATTAAGTTACCTGTAAAACATTGGTACCTAAATCCATAGCAACCAAACTTATTTCACCATCAGACTTTAACTACTATTTTAAAACTGTTTCCATGGTAACACTAACCTGCTGTTTATCATCAAGTTGTAAGTCATCATTTGGGAATCGTAACTGAATACTGTCCATTTTTGTTTGATTCTCTGATGTTCCAAGTTCATCCTCATGCTCCTTTACCATCTGTAACAAATGAATGCAAAATAAAACCGTTCCCAGATTTTCCAAGTTTTAAAATCATACAATTTCGGTATAATCTTGTTTTTCAATACAAACCCTTTCATATAATAAGATGCAAATAAGTGTGTAACGAGATGTAAACATTACTTTACCAAAATACATCTCTAATTGTCCAAATTTGTTATGGGTTCCGCTAAGAATTTATGTTCCATAAATCACATACACATTAGAGGTCACCTGTGTCATCATAAGTTATTTTTCATAAATAAGAAATAAAAACTTGCAAGGAAACATATTTTATGGCGATGTTTTAAAAACACTTAAAACTGCGTTCTTGCAGTTATTGCTATTGATTTGAGAAATTAAAACTATATAGGTTGCTAGAAAGACTTGATCTGTGGAGCAGAAATAAGGTAGTTGTCAGTAACATAAAAGAGGGCTGAAAGATAATAATACTTATGATATATTCAATTTTTTATGCCTTCCATGCACTGTGTGATAACAAAAAACTTTTATAAACAATTATTTTTATCTTGCAAAATTAAATGCTTTTTCTGAAAACAAAATATGATTGTCTCTATACCCCATCTAATTTCTGAGTAAGTAATTAAATATATTAAAAGTATATATGAACGGTAAAATTGTTCCATAATTCATAATAACATGTACATGATACATGCCATACCCTAGGTCTGATCATTACTGAATTAGCAGTAAGAGGATGACATAAATTCACATTTATAATAAATGGAACAGTGGGGTATATGTTAAAGAGACAGCAATCTAACAAACAAACGGAAAACAAAAACATTCAACAGCATTATAAGTAAGTAAGCAATGGATGACAGAAAATCAATATCCTGCCTGCTACAATAATAAAAGTATTAACTCTCAGAAAGAGATCAAAATTAAATCAAACCTGTAATGAGCACAAGTCTTTCTAAGGTATCATATATAATTTCTGATTGATTGATGTTTGTTGTTTGCAGAAAATCATTGGCAAATATTTCATGAATATTCAGAATGAGAACAAATTAACCATAAGTGCAATAGGCAGTTTCTACAAAATGGGACAACCAGGATGAAGAGCAGTACCGGTAATATCAGATGCCACTGCAAAGTAAGCATATGTTGGACAGGGACAGGCATATGGACCCCCAAAAAGCTGTTGCAAGGATAAGGTGGTCTTTATATACTCTAAACGACAGACATACATACCAAATATTATTGACCTTAGTAACTGAAGAGCAGACCTAATTCTGAATAATTTATGATACCACTGGAACATGATAAGGATGTCAAGATCACTTCACAGTGACTGAGTGACAAGGTCTCATCATAAACTTCCTGAGGACCATTCTAATTTGTGTTCACCCGTGTGAAATCAGTGAAGTAGGGATAATTGTTTATGCTGCCATCACTATTGAAAAGTTGCCCACATAGACTTTGTAACAGGCAAGACGAAATCTTCATGAACTAAATAGTTAACATTTCCAAAACATTCATAATCAATTGAATGTTATAGAGTTCTGTGTAGAACTGACAATATGACCAAGTCTTTATGCAGAAAGACTGGTCTGAGTTATGGTCAATACTGATCAGTGTTAAATCAAAACAGAAAGATAAACAGATATTTATCAATAAACTGTGACTCTGCTAAAAACTTGTAGAATTTTAAAGTGATACTGTATTGTTGACCTCAGTAGACACCACACTTGAGATTGGACAAGTATCAACTAACCATGACAAGGCACATTAAGGTCTGGTGATGTAAAATGTTGATCACTTATTATGACAGCCTTGTATTAATCTGTTAAATATTAGTATGTAAGACTTTAATCTGTTAAGTATAGTGCTGATCAGGATTAACTGGTATGGTGTGACAATCACCCGTCAAAATATTGCCCTACTTGAGGATTTATTCTGAAGACTCTTAATTAGACCACCCTTTTGCAAATATTAATATGATTTGCCAAACTTCCTCTGTATATATGTATTGTCTATCAATAGCAATAGCAAAAATACATATTGATTAAGAAGATGTTCTAAGTTCTAACAGTCGTTTGGAGGACTATCTTATTTGTTGGCCAGAAGTTGGTAACTTTTATTTTGAATTTCCAACAGTTGTTTGAAGGACTATCTCACAAGATGGCTATCAGCTATTAACTTGTATTTTTCAAACTTGTGTGAAGGACTATCTAACATGCTGGCAGCATCAGGTATTAACCTGTATTTTTCACACTAGTTTGAAGGACTATCTAACATGTTGGCGATCAGATATTAACTTGCATATTTCACACTTAAGGCACAGAAACAAACCCTCAGTTGCTATCAATCTGCATTCAACTAACAAACATATTATAAATGTAACTTAACTTTTATTTAAATGTTGACCTTGCAGGTGTCGACATTCAAAAGAGATTTATGACCATCTTCTAATGGTGGATAAATCATACCAAGTATCTATAATATCTTTATAGGCATTCACCTATTCTCATCTAGATATAAATGTACATTTGAATATGGGTTATATTAAGTTGACCTAAGTCTGTGACCTTGTCACTGCAGTTGGAAATTTAACCTTTTTGAGATACACTCTGACTTTGTGCCTAATTATAAAGTCTCAATATCATCAGTGTATGACCTTGATCTTCAGGAGACAAGCAATCAAACTGCATATGGATATGGAACATGTAAGGTTGAGCTAAGGTTGAGACCTTGACATTTCAGTAAACTTCCAACACTATTTGCGGCACACCTTCTGTCATAGTGTGCATAAATAATAAAAGGAAATCTTTACTACTTTTTAGGACGCTCAACTTTCTAAGTTTGGATATGAATTAAGTTTGTCACCTTGACCTTGCAAACAGTATATTCCAAACTTATTTGCAAAACACGTTCTGGTGATGGGAAACAATAATAATACAAATTATTTTGGTGATTCCTGTTTTTCTGTTTTATAATTAATATCTTTAAGAGAAATTTCTGGGTTGGCAGACTAGTTAAAAGACAGAATACCCCACAAAAAAAGGGTGATAAAAAATAAAAACGAAAACTTCCGATTCATCTTTTTTGCAATAAAAATGACTTTTCTGTATAATTCATTTACAATAGTAATTACAGTAAATACTTGTAGGTGTATAGTTTATATTCAAGTATCCATTACATAAGTTTAACTTTCTGATAATATTTCAATAAATCAGGGGAATAGGTCATCAATCTCATTCAATTGACATTATAAATAAGACCACCCCATGTCGACAACATAAAAACTTTATATTTATAAGACTCATATTTTAACAATTCTATGGTTTAAGATAATTAAAATCTGTTTTGAAGTCAATATAAGGTGTATAATGACACCAAAAGAGATTTTTTATGAATACTTTATGAATAGATCAATAAATATCATACCCTGCCTTTCAAAATCATGTAACCATGACATCCATATGAATATGTTCAACACGGACGATTTTAGTGATGCTTGCCGATAGTTACAGAATTGTAATTCGGTGATTCAGCGACATTATTGTTTTATACATATTACCCCCTTGGAGAGCTCATTGATATGACCCACTATGTAGAATATTATATTGTGCATGCCAAATTATTATATTAATAATATCTTCCTTTAATTAATTTGAATTTAATTGACTGAATATGGATATGTCATATAAGCATATTTGTATACACATTAAAGGTACATTTTAGTGTACATAGATACCATAGTATATCCTGAACACAGACCTTATTTCAAACATGAGAATTTAAATATGGATTAAATTTTTTTCTCGCAATTATTGACCTCCTTGTAGGGATTAAAGTTCCCAGAGTATTAGTGAAAATAGAACAAGCCTGACCAAGGACAACACATCTTATTATCTTTTTTCTTTTACACTGACTTGTTTTTTAAAGTTTTATAATGAACTAAGCTTTGTCCTTTTAGTTTCTCTTGAGGTATATACAATATACAATATAAATGACCATAATCTTTATGAATTTCCCTTTTATACCAACGACCCTGTTGATAGAGGTGCAGTAAACTTGAAGTGTGACAAACAAGGACCAAAAAAAAACGTGGTCCTTTTAAACGTGTCTTCAAGATAAGCTTTCCATTTCATCATATCAAAATTTTCATTTGTGAGGGATTAAAAAACATTTGGAAAATGGTCAAGATAACTTATTATTTAAAAATTGAAATTTTTTTACAGTAATGTTAGAAATTTCCTCATTCATACATGCTAGACACATGCATATGAAAGCAGTTAAGTATTTTGTTATTTTAATTTATGTTGTCCAATGGATAAATAGTCTAACAAATTAGACCCATCTATCAGATTCCAAGCCTGTGTAACATGGGGTACATTTATCAGATCCCAAACAATTTGTAAAGATGAAAAATTGAAGGTACAGGAAAAACCAAGACCAGCAACCATGTCAGATACATAAAAAAATGATTCACTGTAAAACACAGGGTCACAATAAACAGAGGTTTCTTGTGTATTAAAAACAATTTACAAAAAATATATAAATATTTCGTGAGAAAGTGAATAAACTTAAGACTATTATGGTCGTAATGACCCTACTGAATGTCTTAAATAGATTTCTTATATAGTAAATAGAAATCTAACAGCTGTGTGGTAAATGTTCCCGAAATTGGTAAAATGAGAACTTATAACAAAGAAACCGACTTGTATTACAGAAAACTTTACTAAATATCTTTTACTTTTGTATATGAAATATATAGGGTACTGAGTATGAAAGACAGTATTGTATGATACAAAAAAAGAATGTTAATTGAAAAATAGATAATGGCTCATTTGCATAATATAATTATCAGGAGATATAAGCTTTGGAGACATAATAATAAAATTATGAAGAGGATCAAAACAATAAAGACTGTTGTACTGAGTCAACTTCAATAAAACATCCTGGTCTACCCCAAGGGGGTGGATTTAAAAAGGTTTCATCATGTCTGGCCTAAAAAACAAACTGGCGACACAAATTAATTTTGAAGATTCACTGCATAAAAGAACATAATTTTGTGCAATACATAATTATGAGGAATTTTCATGAATGTACTCCCAACAAACAGTGATTTTCTGTTAACCAAACAAATAAAATGTATGAATCCTGCATACATCTTTTTTTAATTGAATGAAAGATATATGGATGAAATGCCTATGGGACATCCACCTGAATATGCATCAAATATTTGCCAATGAACATTTAGAAAACAACAATTGGACAAATTCTATATGTAAATGACACCCTACATTAGCAGATAAAACAGCCAATAAAGCAGAACTAATAATTATGTCTTATCAATATCAGTGTATATGACTTGACAGCACAGAGACAATCATTGTGGTGCTCTCTTTGTAAAAACAAAAGAATGCACTAACTTATAATTTATAAACTGTTTCTTTCCGCAGATTCTGTCGTGAAATGTCTATTAATAATGCTGCAATAACACTAATGGTACAAATATAACTGCACCAGCTGATGCACATTTCAACAGTAAATGTCTCTTCAGTGATGCTCAAGGCCAAAATATTTGAAAAACCAAAACATTTAACAGACTAAGTAGAATTTTTTCTTTCAATGGTTCAGAAAGAGTTTTATTTGATTAAAAAAAGAATTACATTTTAAGTATATTAGACTTACATTTTTGACTCGAGAGGTAGCTCTATTGAGTTCCTCATAGTCCTGATGGTTTGGATCCGTATCATCGAGAAGATCATTTAAGTACTTGTCATACTCAGGTATCCTCTGAACCTGCAACGATAAAATATACAATGATATAAAGACACAGCTAATCTTTGTCACTAGCAATCATTTTACAACAAAAAGTTGTATTGGCAAACTATATTCAAATATTTCATATGCTGATATATTAACCTCTTCTAGAATCTAGAAAGCATATGCATCTAAATTAAAAAAAACAGCTATCTTAACCTTCAAAATTCACCATTAGTCACTTTCATCTTTCAGAACAAGTTTCAATGTTGAAAAGTTTTACAGTACCAAGGTAAAGTACTGAACCAGACTATGTCCTGTGTCAAATTCTCCCCCAAAACCCTATTACTCTGCACTAACGTACCCTACACAAACTGTTCTTATACAATTAAACATGCCTACAGGAATTTTCAATTAGCCTCTGGGATACAAGTACAAAAAATAACCATGAAGATACTGTTGGTCAACAATAACATCCCTTAGTTCCGGTAAAATCTTTCTGATAAAATGTTTTTTATCTAATCAAAATAGGACAGGTTAAAATGTCAACATTTATAATGCTGGACTTACCAGATAAATTCTGATTAATTTTTGTAATTTGTTTACAAATTTCTTACCTCCTATATTGAAGAGTGATGTATGGGATGAGTGAACGTGTAAAGATATGTCTTAGGATTGGTATGGCGTGACAATCTTGGTGAATCAAACTCTAATTTCACCTGTATTTTTACTATAAGATATGTTAAAATATTTAATCAAGGAATTTTTCTAATTTAAAAACCATTGTAACTCTACTATAAAAACATCTAATTTTTTTTACAAACTCGTAAATGGATTTTGTACAAAAATGTATATAATGGTAGGTGTCTTTTTTTAGACACCTATAAACCATCCTTGACATAGTCTTGATAAGTTCGTGAGAAAATATTTGAACAGACTTAACACAAAAACCATGTTTTCATTAAGTGGCCCTCAATATATCAAGAAAAGTACTGTCATACAGGTTAGAACAATTCAGTTTATTAAATTTGAATGTTTGAATCATCTCTCTCTTTATTACTTTTTTAAGATTACAATCTTTCGATAAAGTTTGATTAAACATTACATTATATTTGGAAGTTACATGGGCTCAATACAAGAAGTTTCCTCCCTCCTGTGAAAGTTTAATCTGACTTTCCCAGGCTAAGAACATAATAAATTCTATGGACTTTGTTCTACATGCAAGGATTTATGCACTATAACATAAAACTTTATATATATTCCAAAGTCAATAAATAATTGCTTTGTACAATATAAACTTTGATCGACTAAAGTCCACAAACTGAAAATGTCAAACAGTGGCAAAAAATTTCAATGACATTTTTTGTTTTGGACAACAGGAAAGTGCAAAACTCTTTCTCAATTTAACAGAATTTAATGTAGCAACAATTACTGAGAAAATGATTTGCAATATAAACATGACCATCAGGTCAGTTTTCTTGTAGCTAGGGACGAATCATTCTATATATCAAAATAAAATGGCTCATCAATGAAGATTATTAACCGATTTTTCTTTCATCAAATATAAGAGAACAATCACGGCTGATATGAAGTACCTATGTCTATTGTCCATTAATGGTTGGTAGATAGACAGGATAATAAGATTACATGTTTTACGATTTCTTTAAGTCTGATATGATAGAACTATTGACGTCATGAAAAATATTGGCAAAGTAAATATACACTGAGAAGTATTGATAGATGTCCTTTGACTGTAATATTTAAAGTTAGCAATGATTTACTATAAAGTAGTCAATCTAGCTTTCTTCTTAGGTATATGTAAACTTTTCCCTTTCATGAATTGAATTGATGGTCCAGAGTGTTAGTGAAACCACCAGGAACCTTTAAAACCAATGACTGATTCTTTCTTTGGACCTGATGTTCTTGATTCTTTTTTTATTTTATTTTCTTTGAAGCCTAAATTCTTTAAGTTTAAGAGTTTACTATGTGGTATGGGTTACTGTAAGAGATCATCAAGTTCAATTAAGATGTTTTCTTCCTAATCCCAATAATATGTTGTCAGATTGCTGTCTCAATGACCATAAGAGCATAGCTCATTATTTTGATGCACCAATGAAAGGCTATAATGCTTTACTTATAATACTTTTAAAGTCACTATAAAAACACATAAAGACTTTTAACTTTTAAGTGATCTTTATGTAGCTGACATCTTTTAGTGGCATCACTGAATGTGATTGATATGAAAATTGGCAAAACTAGATAATGATTGATTGATTGTTGTATGCTAAACATCCAGTGGCAAATAGTACATGGATGTTCAGGACAACAGATGTCACAAGAGTCTGGTTATCTCTGTATATTCCAGTTCCAAACAATTGAGTTATGTGTACCGGTAATTGAATCTTATCAGAATATATCACAAGTTCAGCAATTATCATGAGTACAAAATGTATTTACAAAGTGGGTGTGCATTTCAGCATAAAACATTCTAAACTTAATTGTAAGAATCATTTATGATGTTGAGATATTGAAAGAGGCATCCTAATATTGACTGTACTTTAAAAGGCTTTTACACAACTCATTAAGACATTAAGATTAATATGTAAAAGCATTTGTGCTAAATCTATAGACAAACTTATATAATCTCGTTTCATATAAAAAGGAGGAACATGAAGTACACAAATATATCAACGTTCTGATGTAAACTGTTCCATGGACATGTCAGTGTACTTTTGAATTAGAGAAGTTGTACGTCATAGAAAAACATCGGATTAGAAAAAGCACTTAGCCCTATAATATTCTTATTACAGGGGGGAAAAAACAAAGTTAACAATAAAACAATGCTTGCAGTATATGAGGGCTAGCTCAAAGTAATAGAAACTTTGTCAGGTAAATGTTGATTAATTTTGATATCAAGTAAATCGACTAGATTTACTGTAAGTTTGCATATAAATGCTCAAAAACATTATATCAACAGGTTTCTGGTCATGACCAAGTCCATTTATTGCAAACAGAAACTCCAAAGACATAAATTGTCTAGATATAAAAAAAATCTAAATACTGTAAATTCAGAAATGAATGCATATATTTATTATAATCAATGATTACTGGTTAAAATGTGTGATCTAATTAATGTGATTGCAAAAAATTGGGAAGGAAAATCATTACTAAAATGATGAATGAGAGTTTTTATTATTACGAACCTGAGACTGTCATATCTTTTGGATTGATAAAAACATCGAAATAATTTCTGAATTTACAGTATTTGAAGGTTTCATTGAAAACCATTTACTGGTTTAGTTGGAGAAATACTGTTAGAATATTACATAAGAGAAAAAAGTAATATCTTTTCTACGGGAAACCCCAATTATCATTCTGATCCAAGTATATATATATAACTGGAGATACACAATACCATTAAATACTGAATTATCTATCAAAATTCCATTCACTGGTTTGGAACTGAGATTACTAGAACACATGCAAAAGAGTAATACGTTCAGACAACCTATCACAATCTACCTAGTGAATAGTTGGACTTTATTCTATTAATAGTCCATTAGTCTAATGAAACGTATATCTATTGGACTATAATAATCTTTGAATCCAATCCCCATCTTTAATTTTCTTCCAATGTAAATAGTTTAGCAAGTAAGAATGAAAGATACCACATGTTAGCTTATTCACCATTAAAAACATTTTCTTTTGAAATAAACACAAACCACTTGACAATCCATTTTATATTTTACCTTTCATCCCTTATTTTCTTTCAGAATTGTGAAATTTGAAGATATATATTAACAAATTTAATGCTTATCTTTCATGACCACAATTATTCAAACTATCTGATTTTAAATGTCATAAAGATGTGACCCAATACCCATCCTAAATAATCGTAAAATTGATGACCTACTTTATACAACTGTGACAGGTAACGTTACCTGCCATCTGGGTTGGTTGTCAAAAGTGGTCATTCATTCAGAATCAGGAGTATTTTGTCATTTTGCCATAACATGTCATAAACCACAAACATAATTTCTCATAATCTAAATGTTTCTATTGTATTTCGGTTAAGAACAGGAAAGACAACTCTAAAACAAAAAGTTGGATTTTGACCATACATAATTCATTCTCACTTTTTATTTTAAAACCAACCAAAAAGATAAATTTTTAGAAATTTTAGTAATTTATGGCAAACACTTTAGTTGTAATATATTTTCACCTTCCTGTACTTCAGCAATCCAAGCAACCAAGTTATATACATATGACTATAAGGAGATGAGGGGGTTAAACGTAAACAAGACAGCAACCCAACACCAACAAATGAAGGAGCAGGGCCAAATATTCTCCATGGAAATGAGATGTGCCAATGCTTACACAACTGCATACCAAATATCATTGGCTTTAAACATTAGTGATTCTATTTAAACAGACCTAATCATAAACGGGTTTACCTCAACGAATTGTCTCACGAATTGTAGAGGAAATCCTCAATGGAGACAACAGACCTAAGTATCCCCTATTGCAACTTCATAGTTGTGAGAAAAAAAATAGTTAAGATAAAATAGAATATATATTCTGTAATAAAGATGACCAATGACTGTTACGTCTTGATCAAGGTCGTTAAACAACCCCATAATAGTAAAATCAGCTATAATTTTAATTCTATTTGTGGTTGTTAAAACCAGATATAGTCGCAGTTTTAGTATATTAATTCTGATTGAACTTGTAAAACTGTCACAAGAATGAGTTTGACTTGTGTATTCTGTCATAATTATGTCAATAATCTGAACCTTCTTGTAATTAATAACATATATATGACCAAGATGTCATAAAATTGTCACTAAATTTCCCATAAAACTGACCATTAGCCTTAATTTGTCTGTAGTGTGTACTTGGTATCTATTAGTGGTTTGTTATTACATGTCTAGTGACACATGTGTATAGTGGTCAGCTATCACATATATATGTGTTCATGTCACAAACTTTACTTATATTTTAGTAACGAATATTAAAGTAAAAATAGACAATTTTTTTTT